TTTGGCATATCAAATACGTCATGGGAACCTTGCCATGGGAAATGAAACAGTTGTCAGGTGACATTTTCAAAGACCCCCCTCTGTGTGGTTTATGGGAAACAGTATGTAAATGAAAGGACACTGTAATGGAAACAAAAGGTGAAGGAGAAGCAGAAGAACAGAAGGAAAATGCTGTGGGGCCCTATTGATTAAAAGATGTGGCAAAGTCGCTAGAGAAACCAATTCAATAGGAACAATTTGTTTAAATGCAATGCTCAAGTTTTTAAATATAGTATGCAAAATTGAAATGTAGATCCAAAAGAAAAAGATCAGTCTGAGGCCAGGGAGGTGGTCCAGGGGCTGAGCGTGGCTGTGCATGCAGGAACCTCATGGAGTGACCCCTAAGCACAACTGTTGGCCAGAGTAGCCCCCGAGCACCACTAGGTGTGGCCCCTTACAAGACCTAATCAAACCCCAACCACAGCCAGTGATGTTGAAGCTTATCTCTCAGTAAATTGCAGATCAAGGAAAACAAGAGAATCATCGTGGAGACAGAAGTCTGAGCTGATGGCAACTTATCCTGATTGACACATGCAAAACATTCTAGCAGACATCTAAAGAAAACACAGTTTACCAGAACTTACCAGAAAGACTGTGGTACCATGAAGCAAATCAATTTCAAATCAGGAACATATGGAATATTTGGGTTCTTTTGTTTTGTTTGGTTTGGTTTGGTTTGGTCACACCTGGCACTCATAGATCACTTCTGGCTCTGTGCTCAGGGATAGCTCCTAGCCAGGTGCCAGGGATTGAACTTAGGTTGGCTGCAAGCAAGGCAAGTGCCCTGCCTACTGTACTCTCTCTCCTGCCGTGATCATACAGAATATGTTGTGGGATATTAATTTTGAAAACAAAAGAAAAGCCTGGAAATCTCTTTGTAAAGGTCTGGAATTAAGTAGCTCATTTCTCACTTACCCTTGTGGAAAGGTCGTCATGCTGTACAGCAGACGGGTGCCCCCAGCCTCTCCTCAGAGGACAGCCTCAGGCAAACCACAGGAGCACTGCTCCACGGTTCATGTAAGTCACACACCACGGCAGGGAAAAGGCTGCTGCCTCTTGCATCTCTCAGCCCCCCTGCCGGCCTGTTATAGGCCAAGAGGGGACCCCCCCCTGAAAGAGACACTCCCCCACCCCGCTGCTCACTGGGTGAGGAAGCACACTCTCACATATATACCTTAACACACTCCCATTTACCATATGCTCTCTATCTCACACACACACACACACACACACATACACACACACACACACACACCTCACTCCCACTTTAACAAGTTCCCACACTCCCACTTCCACACACTCATGTTCTCACAAACTCACAGGCAGTTCGCACGCTCACACAGGTTCGCACGCTCATCTCATGCTCAGTCACGCTACCCCTCTGCTCGATGGGGGCGGGTGGGCCAGCAGGTGGCTTCCTTCAGCAGCAGGACCTGGACGCTGCTTGTCCGTTCCTCAGGCTCAGTGTCCAGAGTCTGTGAGAGTGAAACTTCTCTTCCAGAACCTCCTCTAAACTTCCCTTCCAGAACCTTCTCTCCCCTCAGCCTTGGAAATCTTGGGGAAGGCTCTGCTCCAGAGAGTCTGGGCTCTGAAACAAAGAATATTTCCCCCCTATTTTTAAGTTTTGTCCCTAAGGCCTCCACAACCCCCTCAATTTTTCTTGAGGCACTGTGATTTACAAAGTGATAAATAATGATGATTCAATGATGGTTGAACTCATGGTGGGATTTTTAACCATTTTTATTGAGGTGCTATGGTTGACTGCACTGTCATTTTACTTTTCATGCATCTGTGATTCCAACACCCATCACCAGAGTCCCAGGGGCCCCTCCCAGCTCTGTCACAAAATCCCCAATTCCAATTCCAAATGCCTTTTTAACAAATAACTTTTCGAACTGTAATCTAACTGGTTACCATTTACTATATTTGAATTTTTGAATATTTTGAATATTTGAATATTTTGAATATTTGCTCGATTTGCTCGATTTGCTCGAGCGGGCCCAGTAACGTCTCCATCATGAGACTTTGTTGTTACTGTGTCTGGCATATCGAATACGTCACGGGGAGCTTGCCAGGCTCTGCCGTGCAGGCGAGATACTCTCGGTAGCCTGCCGGGCTCTGAATATTTGAATATTTGGAACTTGAGTCTGGCGCTTTAGACCACTCGGCCATCCTGACACACTGGAGCGGTAGCACAGCGGTAGGGCGTTTGCCTTGCATGCAGCCAACATGGCCGACCCGAGTTCGATTCCTCCGCCCCTCTTGGAGAGCCCAGCAAGCTACCGAGAGTATCTTGCCCACACGGCAGAGCATGGCAAGCCACCCGTGATGTATTCTATATGCCAAACACAGTAACAACAAAATCTCCAATGGAGACGTTACTGGGCCCGCTCGAGCAAATCGATGAACAACGGGAGGGTCTTTACCTTTTACCTTTGAATATTTGAAATTTGAAATTATAAGGGACTTAAAAGTGTTCCTAGCTTGTAGGGAGAAAACTCCCAGCCCCACCAGGTGCCGGTGCTAAGGGAGACATGGGACATGGCTGCATTCGAACATTCTTTGTTGTTTGGGGGTGCAGACTCCGTCAAACAGAGAATATTTCTCTGACTGGAAGAAAGGAGTATTTCAAGTGTATTTTCAGAGCTTTCTTTGCATAGTATGATTGGAACTTAAGTACTCACTTATTCTCTTTTTTTTTCCCCCATTTTTCTTTCAGACCACACCCAGCTGTGCTCAGGGCTAACTCCTGGCTTTTCACTCAGGGATTGCTTCTGGCAGGGCTTGGGGGACCACATGGGATGCTAGGGATTGAACCTGGGTCAGCTGTGTTGCAAAGCAAAAGCCCTTCCTGCTGTCCTATTACTCTTGCCCTCTTCTTCCCATTTTTGAAAAGGTCATTATACGGGGGCTGGGGCAATAGTACAGCAGGTAGGGCATTTGCCTTCACGCGGCTGATTCGGCTGATTCACGTTCAATTCCCGGATCCCATATCATCCCTCAAGCACTCCCAGGAGTAATTCCTAAGTGCAAAGCCAGGATTAACCCCTATGCATCTCCAGATGTGACCCCCTCAATAAAAAATAATAAAAAGGTCATTATATTTAGGATACTTGCATTGCAAAAATGGCATTTAAATATGTTTATTGTCATGAATGAGGTAACATGGTCACGATGGTCATGGGTCTGATACAGTTTCCACATGTGCCACCAAGCTTCCCAAGACCCTCCACCAATGCCCCTGGGTGGCTCTAGTCGGCCTCTCCTCCAAGCCCCGACACTGGCCCCTACTGTGGCTACTCTGAGGCTTTGGCAGTGCATTCTGTCAGTGACTTCGGTTTGCTCCTCTCTGGGCTGCAGTGGACACTGTCCATTTTGTCCTTCCCCTATGACTTATTTCGTTTAACGTGGTGCCCTCCAGCTCCAAGCTACCGCCAAGTGTCGATTCCATCTTGTGAATATGGAGTCTAGCCCCCGCCGCCCCCTTCCCACGCCTGTCCTCCATCATTTCAGTTGTCTTATACCCTGGCTGGGGGCCTAGCACCTCGGTGAACACGGTTGTGCCTTTATCTGTTTGGATGACTGCTGTGTTCTAGCAGGTAGATGTCCAAGAAATGGGCTCACCGGGTCAGTGGAAGCTGTTTTACCTTTGCAAAGAACCCTCCGTTCTGTTTTCCATAGAGGTGAACCCTACGCCGTTCTCGCCCACGGTGAATGCAGGCGAAATTGGCAATAGCGCCAGGGCTGATGTCAGTGACTGAGTTTTAAGTGTCCCGTTCCACTAAGGTCTGCTGGTTACACGTGCTGGGCAGGGGCCAGGCGAGGCTCCAGTGTCCAGTGTCTCCCACTGCAAAGCCCAGCGACCAGGTGATCAGTGGCATCGTGTGGGGAACTCGCTAAGGCCGCAGTTAGGCCTGTCCACCCACTCCGTTCTTGGCATGGCCGTCAGGGGAACGTATCTCTACACACATAATCTGTCCAGCCTCCATTCAAGGCGGCCGAGCAGCAGTGACCACGCACAAAACCTGTGCCCTCCAAAGGGCACCCCCGCGGCCGAGGCGGCTCAGCGGGCTGGAGGTCAGGCTCTGCGCGCTGGACGCCCGCGTGGTCCCCGCCTGTGATCCCAGCGCCAGTAGGTGCGCCCCAAGCCAGCACCCAGGCTGCAAAGAAACGGAGCTCACAGTGTCCGGCACAGTTCCGGGGGGTGGGAAGCAGGATCTTCCCGCGGAGCCTGTGTCAAGTCTGCAGTCCAGGAACCCCGCTGGAAAGACCCCTCCCCCTCGGCTTCTCTGCCAGCATCTGGGGAGCTCAGAGCGCCGCCCGGGCACGCCCCCACCTGTCCCCTGCCTACCTGTCCCCGGGTCCCGCCCCCACCTGTCCCGGGGACCGACCCACCTGCCCGGGTCCCTCCCGCCCCATCTGCCCCGGGGTCCCGCCCCCACTGTCCCCCCCTCGTCCCGCCCCAACCTGCCCGGGCCCCGCCCCCACCTGCCAGGGCCCCGCCCCCGAGCGCCCGGGCCCCGCCCCCACCTGCCGGGTCCCGCCCGCCCCCACGTGCGGGTCCCGCCCCCCACTTCCGGTCCTGGCGGGGCGCCTGCGCAGTGCGGCGGCGCGGGCGGCTGTTGCGCCCAACCGTCCCCGCCTCGACCAATCGGGAGGCGCGTTTCAGGCGCGGAGCCCCGCCCCCGCCGGGAGCCTGGAGACGGGCTGCCAATGGGCGGGCGCGTTGTTGGCGCGGAGCCCCGCCCCCGACCGGGCCCGGTGACGGGAGCGGGTCATGGGGTGGACGCGCTCCTGAGCCACAGCCCGGAGGGCCGCCGCGTCCTGTGCCCGCGCTGCCCGGCGCGGCCCGTGCGGCGGGGGCGGAGGCGGCGGGCGGCGCGGGGCGAGCGGCGGGCGGCGGGCTGGCGGGCGGGGGATAGGGGCAGGTCAGGTTAGGGACCGCGGGGCCGGGCAGGGACAGGGGCCGCGGGCAGGGCAGGGGCAGCGCGGGGCAGCGCGGGCGCCGGCGACATGCTGCTGTCGCTCGTGCTGCACATGTACTCCATGCGCTGCGTGCTGCCCGCCGCGGTGCTGCTGGGCTCGGCGCCCACCTACGTGCTGGCCTGGGGCGCCTGGCGGCTGCTGTCGGCGCTGCTGCCCGCGCGCTTCTACCAGGCGGTGGACGACCGGCTCTACTGCGTCTATCAGAGCATGGTGCTCTTCTTCTTCGAGCACTACACCGGGGTGCAGGTGAGCGCCCCCGCCCGCCCCGCGCTGTCCGGGTGCGGGCGAGCGTCCCCCCTCCTCACTGTCCGGGTGCGGGCCAGAGTCTCCCGCGCTGCGCTGTTTGGGTGCAGGCGAGCGTCCCCCGCGCTTCGGCCTCTCGCCCAATCCTGGGGTGTCCCCTCCGAGGGCCCCATGCCCAACTCCAGGATGCCAGCGAGTGCGCTCACTCGGGCCCTGCATCCCTAGCCCGCCGACCAGGCCCACCCCGGAGCACGTGCTCCACGTCCCGGCCTGCTCACCACCCCGGCTCCGTCCGTTCCCTGCGCAATCCCCAGCGTGCAGGAGAGCCGGGTCCCCCAATCCTTGGGTGTTGGTGAGCGCTCTGGCCCCGCATCCGGTGACCAGTCGTGCTGGCCCGGAGCACGTGCTCCACGTCCGGACCCTCTCACCATCCCTGGTGCAGGTGAGCGCCCCCACCCTCCGCGTCCCGGGCCCTGCCCTCTCTGGTGCAAGGTCACACCCAACCCTGTAAGTGCCGACCCCCCATCAGGCCTTCCCTCCGCCTGGGATTAGGTTTTTAATAAGGAGAGGTGTGCTTTGGGAACCGGCAGGACATGGTGGGGACTGGAGGCGCTTTTAGGCCGTCCCAGGCAGGCAGGGAGGGTTGGTGTCCGCTGTGGGCCCCTGGGTCGTTGGACACAGTAGCTGCCCATGGGCCCCTTCTTGCTCCGATTACCCGTCCAGAGATGAGATCTCCTGATTAACTCGCTGAAACTCGAGCAAAAGGCAGAGACGCCCTTGAATTCAGATCAGCGGCATCTCTGACACCCAAAACAACAGGGTTTTCAAGTGGGGGGTGTTGCTCACAGTAATCTAATTAGTGTCCCCCTTTCCAGCGAGGGGGGAGTAGGGAAGCCTTGTGTTGGGTTCTGCCTCCCTGCCCCCCTTCCACACTGCCGGGCTGTGCTGCTCCTTTTTTGGTTGATCCGGAGGCTCTGAATGTGTCTGGGGAGGGAGCCAGGCGCCGCCCCGGTAACCTGCTGGTTTCTGGGAAGGAGAGAGCAGGCCTGCTTCCCCACCAACCCAGGAAACAAGTTCCTGATAGGGAACTTTCTACATGTATCTCCTTTTAGCTCGTCCCTGAGTGTTACTCCACCCCAGAGCTCTTCTTTCACTGTGTTTGTCCAACCAAGGATTTGAGTTCATGTTGCAGGCAGCTGGTGCAGGTGAGGGTGCAGATTGGGAATACAGGACAGTGGAAGGCCGTAGCAGGGACCTCCATATTCCATGCAGTGTCCTGTCCCGGTAACCTGTGTGGTGTGCTGCAGGAGCATATGGTGCAGATGAGTTTTTTTCTTTTAAAAAGTGATAGCCGTAGCCGCGTGGATAGGGCAATTGCCTTGCATGTGGTCGACCCGGTTCAACTCTGGTGTCCCATGTGGTCTCCATGCACCACCAGGAGTGATCCCTGGGCGCTTGAGTGGCCTTCCCCAAACAAAAAGTGATTGTGAACTTTTTGTGTTTCTAAAATTATTTAAAATTTGTTTCTTTGCGAGTGGCTTTTAAAAAATTCCTGTTGCTCACGGGTGGTGTGCCTCATGCTGTCTTTGGAACCATGTGAGGTGAGAGGTTGTCTTATACCCAAAGCCACGCTTGAGGGCCAGTGTTGGCGGCAGTGCTCCCGTGTCGTATGTGTGTCCATATCTTTTAGATTGTGCCAGACCCTACAGCTCCTTGGCACTGGCTATTGGGGGGGGGGGGGGAACGGGGATTTGAGGCACCCAGAAAGACGGCAGATCCAGGGGCCAGGTCCTGCTGGATTCAGAAGTGTGGCCCCAGCCCCCCTGAGCTCCTCCAGGGTGCCCCTCCCACCCAGTTTGTTTGTACTGATGGCTCTGTTTGCCAAAACCTTGTTTCCAAGTGCTAACTTCATCAATTATAATGATAAAACAGGAAGTTCTTTGTAAAATAGATTGAGGGATTTTTGAGGGATGCCTCCGAACAGTGCTCTGAGGGCCTGGGGACCACGCCAGGACACCTCTCTTGCTCTGTGCTCTGGAGCAGTGCTGTGCTGGGGCCAGGTGCTGAGGTACTTAGAGGTCACCCCACCTGAGCTGGCAGTCCGGGGGGATGGGGCTCCGTGCTGGTGCTATCAGCCCGCCACTCTGACCCAGCCTCCCAGCCCCAGATGAACAGAGCTCTCCACTCACCTGCCTCTCTCCTAAAAAAAAAAAAAAAAAAAAATCAGAAGTACCCGAAGCCTATCGGGGATTTAGGTCTCCTCGATCCTGGAACCTGGCGGGAAGTGGAGAGTCTCTAATGCTTCTGGGGGAAACATTGTTGCCAGTTTCTTGATGAGCTTCCAGAGCTGAGACTGTGTCCTTTTCCCCTTATATTCCGATACTTTTAGCCAAGCTCTAACTCTGTGCTCTGGCTCCCCAGAAAACAGGATTTAAATGGAGAGGTACCTGCCAGCTCCTTTTTGGTACTTCATTAATTTGGGGTTTGGGCTGTGCCTTGTGCCAGTCCAGCGCCCCTTGTGAGTGGGTCTGTTTCTCTAGTCCCCAATGCTTACCCGACAGAGCATCAACAGGAATGCTGTCCCATCCCCTGGTCTCACCCAGGCCAGGACCGCGGGGGCCCCCCAAAAGCATCCCTCCGCATGGCTGGTGGTGACCAGGGCTGCCAGCCTTGGGTGTGTCTCTGTATTGGCCCCTCAGTTTTATACTTTTCTCAGCACTAATTCCAGCCTTACACTCCTCCCTGCCCAGGGAATAGACTCTTAAGGACATATCTTAGGGAGATGAAATCGGACCTGTGTTTGTGTGCTTTCTAATAAATATAAAACCTCAGCTATGAGTAAACCAGTTATCTGAGGCTGACCTGTGAGAGATTTTATTTATTTATTTTTTTAAACAAACAAAAATCTTTTTTTCTAGGGGATGGGGTCAGTGATGCTTAGGGCTGACCCTTTGCTCTGCACTCAGGGGTCACCCCTGGCGGGCTCCAGGGACCTACTGGCTACCAGGCACCAGACCCCAGTGGGCAGCATGCTAGGCAAACGCCCCACCTGCTGTACTAGCTCTAAACATCTTACTTTTAAATTTCACACCACAAATGCCATAAAACGTAACAGAGTATTTGAGAAGTTGGTGTCCTCCTCAGCCCTGCCAGGCCCAGCAGCTTCTTGCCCTGGTGACTTTCCTCTGGGGCCTCCCGCACCGCCCCTGCGCCCGCTTAGAGGCACCGCTCACTGCCCTCTTTCAGAGAGCGCCAGATTCCCTGGGCAGAAGGGACTCCCTCTCTCTGTTTTCTTTTTTTTTTTTTTTTAGTTAAAAAAGCCTATTTTTTAAATTGAGATACACAGTTACAAAGTTGTTCATGTAACAGGAGGTTTCAGTCATGAAATGTTCCAACACCTCCCTTCACCAGTTTACAACCAGTGTCCCCAGTTTCCCTCCCACCATCCCCCCATCTCTATGGCAAGCACTTTTTTTCTGTCCCTCACACGCTCTTTCTCTCCCTCACTCTCTCTCTGTCTCTCCCTCCCTTCCTTCCCCCCCTTCCTTCCCCTCCCCCACTCTGTCTCTCTCTCCCTCTCCCTTGGATGTTATGGTTTGCGGTACAGATACTGGGAGGTTATTGTGCATATCCCTTTACCTCCTTTCTGGTCCAGAGTGGTCATTTCCAACTATCATGGTCATAGTGATCCCTTCTCTATCCTGACTCCCTCCCCGCCTCCCCTGTGGCAGCATCCTCCTCCATGGGCCAGTCCTCCTGGTCCTGTTTCTCCTCCTTTAAGTGGCCGCTGGCGCTCCCTCCTTGGTTGGTCTCAGGCTGTTGCATCTCAGCAGGTCACCTACTTCCGGGGACACAGCCAGAGGACTTGATGGGAGTGGGAGCTGTGAGGAGGAGGAGCCCTGCAGAGGGGTGGTTGGCAGGGTTTTGGGGTGGGGGGGGCGGAGCCCAGGAGCAGTGGCCCACATGCAGGTGCTGGCAGTGCCTCCCTGGAGCCCGGCCTCAGGCTGGCCCAGACCCTTTGATCAGTTCACGAGCTGCCAGAGCTGCCAGTCAACCGGGGAGACAGACTTGCTGGGAGGATGGTTGCACCTGGGGAGTCCTGGGCGAGTGGGCCCCAGGGCTGGTGCCTGTATAGTTGTGGCTCCTGTGCCGTGTCAGTCCCGGGGAGCAGGCAGCGGGCCTCTGTCTCTGTGAGCCCCGCACGCACAAGCGCCACACTGTGCCAGGGCCAGTGTGTGGGTCTTCCTTCTAGAGAGCCGCACCGAAGACTGGGTGACCTGGAAGGTTCTGGCAGCCCCACCGCTTCCCGGCTGGGCTGGGCCCCTGAGGGAAAGGAGGCTGGTGGGGGTTAGCAGGGAGCAGGAAGGCAGACTCTCCAGGAGGGCGTGCTGGGGCTTGCCGCTGCCGCCTGGAGCTGCCAGGGCTTCCTCTGGCTCTCGGCGGAGGCTGAGGGGCTCAGAGGAAGGGAGGGGCTCTGAAGAGGCCCTCCCCCTGTGAGCCTCAGGAGCCTGCCGGCTGTTCCGGAAGACTTGGTTCCCCCTTCGGGTGCCTCAGGAGCGGGCAGCTGGCAAGGGCATGCTGGCAAGGGGACGCGGGTTTGCTTTTATAGGTGCCACACTGGGGCCCGGCGGGGGGGGGGGGGGGGGGGGGTGGGGGGTGTGCCTGGCCCCAGGTATCAGTGGCCACCATGGCATACCTGCTTGTGGGGGTGTAGGGGTGTGGTGTGAGACTCAGCCTGGGTCCCCACATCTCTGCACCCACTGTCCTGTGCAGGGCTGGGGTCCAGAGGACTTACCTTGCGCACTGTGATCAGGGTCAATCCTGGCACCATGTGTGGCCCCCGCACCCACCAGGAGTGATCCCTGAGGATCACTAGGGGAGCCCATCCCCTTCTCCCTACCAGAAATAAAAGCCCCACGATGGACCACTGTGGTGAGGGGTGTGTCAGCCCCCCTAGAGGGGCTGAGGGGGCATGTGGGACTGTAGGCACAACCCAACTCTCCCTAGAACAGTCTGGAAGCTCTGGTTCCCTGGCTCACCCCAGGCTATGAATCCTGCAATTGTTTCCTCTCCTTATCTCGCACAGCCCTTTCTGCCCAGCTGGATTCCTGCCTTATCTTCCTGCGGGCCAGGGCCCCTGGGAGTGGGGACCAAGCGCCCTTTGTTTCAGGCCAGCAAAGAGCCACTGAAAGTGGCCCTTGTTTGGGAGCCCCGGGGGCCACAGATGCTTTTCTCTGGGAAGCTGGCCCTTGTGCCCGTCCCCAGACCCAGACTGGCTGGGAGCACAGCACAGCCCTGCTGCCCACCACCCAGGCACCCACCCCCGCAGGCTCTGCCGTGACTCCGTTACCTGTGGGAAGGGCTCGGGTTTGAACATTTAAGTCTTGACCACGTTTGGGGAACCACAGGCCTTGGGGCTGGCCGTGAGATGGTCTCCGGGCTCCAGCTGGAAACTGCCTTTGACTGGCCACTCTGCCCCAAGTGGGGGAGAGAGGGCATGAGTTGGGTCAGTGAACCCTAACCTTTCCCTGTGTATCTGCTCCAGGACAGTCTGCCAGAGCCCCAGTGCCTCAGCCCCGAGTGTGGCCGGAAGTCCACTCTTCCCACATTTCCCGCTGTCCCCGCTGCCGTGGGTTGGGAGCTGTCTGGGGGCCCGGGGAGTATCTGGATGGCAGTGGCACCTGCAGTTTACCCTGGGAGAGGATTGCAGCTCTGGGAGAAGGGTGGGAGACCAGCCTCTGCTCTTCCTGTTACTGAGCCCATCAGGAGTGACGTCACAACAAAGGGAACCTGGGGGACGTGCACAGACCCGCTCTGGCTCATTCCTAACCGCGCAGGATCCAGAAGGTGCCAGAACACCGAGACCAGAATGAGAAGTGTCAGTGAGAGTCGTTCCCTGTGCAGCCTTTCAGAAGGCACCTCGCACGGAGAGTATTTATTAGGAACTATTTCCTACGTCTCCAGAGAGATGTCACGGGGTTCTCTCGGGAGACCGCACCGCTGGAGAAAGGAAGCCACTGACCCCTTCCTGATCTCTGGGAACCTCAGGGACCAGGCCCGGGGCTTCGGCTGCAGGTCTCCTGCTGAGGGGTCTGTTCTCTCTCCCCTTCCCTGCTTCACTCCACCTTGTCTGCTGCGGTGCCCACCTGCCCGAGGTCCCCTGCACCACGGCTCTGTGCCCCTGGCCTGGAAGTTGGGAAGCTCCCATCCCGGCTCTCATGAGCGCCGTTGTACACGGACTGTCCATCTCCGAGACCCTCGGGGCGGCCACACGACACCACATTTAGACATCAGCCTGTTCTGTGTGTTTTACTGCAAACGAAAGTAATGTTTCTTTTTTTGTTGCTTGTTTTATCTTCTAGATACTGCTATATGGAGATATGCCAAAAAATAAAGAAAATGTCATATATTTAGCAAATCATCAGAGCACAGGTTTGTATTTCTTTTGCCAGCGCGAGACTTGGGTTGGCCCCTGAGGCATGTGGCGTGTGATGCTCCTGTGTCCACGTGAGACCTTGATGGGGGGGGGGGGGCGTGACCTTGTGACGCAGACATGTCTTGACCCACAGCTTCCCTCAATCATGAAATGACCTATAGATTCAGAGGAATTCACAGTAAGCATGCATCGGGCCATGAGTCAGCCTTGCCGTTGCGTCTCTGTCTGCTCAGGACCCTGCCAGCCACGAGGCCTCAGGCGGCCCTGGGCTTGCTCAGACGGTGCAGTCAGTAAGATCTGACTTTGCTTTTGACACACGCTTGCTGAAGCCGTCCTCATTACTCTGAACACTTTCCTTTGAAAAGCGCCCTGGTGATCGGGGGCTGAGGGGCTTCTCCCAGACCCCGGGAGTTTTCCGCTCCTTCCTGGCTGTGGGTCTTAACCTGCGTTTGCGCTGGCTGTCATGTGATAGAGCATGCGAGGTGAGGGCTCGCTTTCTTCCCACTGCCTCCCTTAGCTTTGGCCAGTGGGTGTGGAGGGAGGCTGCAGGGATGGCAGAGCCCCGTCTGTCTGCGTCTCTCCCTGGTGTGGCTGGCACTGCCCTCCCGACTGGCTGAGTGACCACGGGAGGGGCCGGCCCTGGGAAGGGCTTTTCCCGACTGGCCAGACTGCATCCCCAGCCTCCGCCGGGCCAGCGCGAGTCTCTCCTGGGCCAGCCTGGGGCTCTCGGGGCGACATCTGACCGACCCCCCACCATTCCCACTTGCTGCTGCGGCTGGGCTCTGCCCCTTGACCGTGGCCCTCTGCTCTTTACGCCTTTTCCTCTGACCCTTAGCACTGCGCCCTTTTCCTGTGCCGGCTGGTGGTGTGGATAGCCGCAGAGTGGCTGTGGCAGTGGAGTGTCCCTCAACCAAGCCTGTGTCCTGCAGGGCAGCCCCCGTGCGCAGGTGTGGGCGGCCCTGCTGGGATGCAGGTGGTTATTACACTGGGCTGCCCGCCTACCCCCAGGGGACAGTGAGCCCTTGCTGTGCAGAGCTGCTGGGTTTCCACCCAACGGTTCCAAAAGTTCAGGGCAGGACTCTGAATGGTGAGATGGTCTAGTCACGCTTGTGACGTTCCTGTACGTTTGACATGTTTCTTTTGGTCGTTCTTGGAAAGGCATCTTAGGCCACAATATGGTCACTTCAGCTTTAGTGTAAAAACGCATCTTTAAAAACTCCTCCAGGCTTCACGATCTCTTGTCTCTGACCGCCTCTGTCGGGTTCAGGGTCACTGCCTGCACGCTGCAGAGGGTGTGCCGGATGGCTGTGCGCTTCACGCCGCTTTGCCACTGTTTCGGGCCACTTCCGGCGAGGTTAGGAGGTGCTGGTTCCAGTTCTAGGTCACTCCATGCGGTGCTCAAGATTGCATCCAGGGCGATTGTCTCCTCAGACCAGTCTTGCCGGCCCATGATGTCCTTTGTGGCTTGTCTTTGGGGGGCGGGGCAGACCCAGGGCCCTCGGCCAGTCTGGCAGTGCCATTGCGTGGGGGAGCTCGGGCATGTGGCTGGTGTCAGTTCCGCCCCATCAGTCATTCTTCTTCCTCTTGTGATGGCTGGGGGCTGTCCACGCCTCGCCGTGGTGCCCATGATGTGTCAGGAGCCCACGTGGCCGTGCTGGCCATGGATATGTGTGGCGTGTGGTGGCCTTTTACTGTGCCTCACCCACCTGACAGGCTGGGGCTCATCTTTACAGGTTACATGAGGCCGTGCAGGAGCAGGAGGCATCCTGGCTGCTCGTGGCCCAGGTGGGTGACTGTTCCGTGCCACAGACACAGCTCCTGGGCTTCATTCACCTCTGCACCGCTCTGCCCCTCTAAAGGGAATCCCAGAGGGTGCCCATGTGCACGCAGGCGGGGGTGGTTCCAGCACTTTCCAGGCCACGGTTATGTATCTCTAGAGCATCAGAACACTTGGGAGTGATACCCTCCCCCTCAAAAAAAAAAAAAAGAGAGATTTAAGAGAGCTTTAACAAATGCTAAAATGAATAATGAGTGATTGAGTGATAAAATGAACGAATGGTGCAAATGAATGATGACATTGTCCAGAGGGGCAGCTGTAGTTTCTGTGAGATGCTCTGAAGGTTCCGCACTGAGGACAGATCGGCCGTAGGCAGGTGGCCGTGCCTCTCTCCCTCTATGGGACTTTCTTCTTTTTGATTTTGTCTTTGTTTTGGGGCCACACCTGGCGATGCTCAGGAGTTTGGGGTCCCTCCTGGCTCTGCACTCAGGGATCACTCCTGGCAGTGCTTGGGTCACCATCTGGGGTCCCGGGAATCAAACCCGGGTCGGCCACATGCAAGGCCAGTGCCCCCGCCTTTCTCTTCATTCCCCACTTCAGGCCTGTTTGAACAACACTTCCACCCTGTAGTTCACACATTTGTTCTCAGTGCAAGGCTCCGAGGGAGCCTCAGATTCTGTTGTTGGCACTAGGGAGGGCTCTCCCTGGGGTTGCTGTTTCAGCCCCGGGGGTGGTTCGTGGCCTCGACTTTCCCAGACAAGCCCCTGGTCCTTGTGGCCCTCGTCATCCTCCTCCCTGGCTTTGCGCCTTCTGTCCCCTGCCGTGGGCCAGGCTGTCCCTCCTAACGTCTCTGCTGTGGTCCCCTGCTCACCGCCTCATTTGTGTTCCTGTCACCTGCAATGGGGCGGCTAACAGGCTGGGCCTGTGGCTGGTCTCAGGAGTGTGCCCACGTGTGGCAGAGCCCAGGGGAATTCACCCCAAACGCAGTAGATCCAAGGGGAGTGTGTGTTCCCCCACACTAGCAGATTTCAGTGGAGCGTACCCCACATGTGGCAGATTTCAGTGGAGTGCGCCCCCACACGTGGCTGATCTCAGTGTGGTATGCCCCCACACATGGCATGGAGCACTGTTGCAGACCCAGAATGTCGGGCGTGGGTCTCTATTTACCAGGCTTTGTTCACCTTTGGATCCTGTATCGCAGACCGACCCGGTAGGGATGCTTACATACGCCATGTCCTGCTGCTCTCCATGGCTTTGGCAGCCTTCTGAGCAACGTGGACCTCCCTCCACCCCGAGCCATGGCAGTCAAGCTCGGGTTTCAGAAACAGGCTGCACGATGGGTGGTGGGGGGACACTGCTGCCTGTGGCTGTGGTCGCATCTGGCCTTCGCTGACCCCGGGCCCACGGACCGCTCTGTCTTCGCAGTGGACTGGATCGTGGCCGACATCCTGGCCGTCCGGCAGAACGCGCTTGGACACGTGCGCTATGTGCTGAAGGACGGACTCAAGTGGCTTCCCTTGTACGGGTGCTATTTCTCTCAGGTGAGCTTCGCTCTTGCTTGGTGACCTTCTCGTGGCTCGTGAGGCCCAAGGGATTGAACTGAGCATACGCACAGTTTTGCTTACTGCAGGGGGCTTGGTTTATTTTTATGAATTGAATAGCTTCCTCGACGTTGATGGAACTTTATTTGGCGCTTTCAGCGGTATACGTTATATGTGTCATGATTACCCAAACAAATAGAAGATGCAAATGTGCAAAAATCAAAGGAGACCGTTTCAAAGGAAAGAATTTAATAGGCGATTACCTCCAGAAGTCAATAGCATGGGCGGCTGTGGACTGCACTTGAGAATGTTTAATGCAGGTGTTATTTTACAAAACGCCCTGTGAGGCCCCGTGCCAGCGCCCGGTCACAAGCTTTGTTTGCAGCGTCCTCTTCCATACTGAGGGCATTCCGAGCTTGCCCAGGCCTTTGCTGGCATGTAAATGACGTGTGTGTGATCTTGAGAGTGTGAAATGTCCGCGGCTGATGAACTTGGCCTCTGGTCAGAGAGAGCTGAGGGGCTGGGGCATCATCCCATGCTCCATCTCATGTGCAGGCACCCTTGGGCGTCCGCCCGAGCTCCATCTCATATATGGGCACCCCTGGGCATCAGCCGGAGCTTCATCTCATCCTCAGGCACCCCTGGGCATCTTAGCTCTTTTTAAGTCTGGCCGCCTGTGAGAATGTCATGGAATTGTGGACGGGGAAGTGAGGTCTCCATGACAAAGCTGTCTTAATCCTCAGTTTGTCTGAAGCACAGAGATAAGAGCACCCCAAATATTGCCAGGCAAGACAATCTAGTCTTGATTTTCTTAAGAATCCCCAGGACCGTGGCTGTGTGTGCAGTGTGTGAGTATCATGCATGGGGAGGCCAGCTGCACCCTGCCAGCACCCGCTGCCTCTGCTCTATCCCCTGGGACCCTCTGGCGGCATCCCAGGTCAGAACCTCGAGTGAAGACCCTGGTCCTTCCCAAGAGAGGCGTCCCTGCAGAGGCTGCCTTTTCTTGCGTTGTTCTCAGCGCACAAGCCACTCTTGTGCTCGTGCTTTTTAGAGAATTTCAGCTTTTGCGTCTGTCCTGTGGAGGCGTGGACTCTTGGTGACGGAGGTGTCTGAGCAGTGGAGGAAGGGCTCAGGAAGACGTGGGCGGGCAGCTGCACCCCTCCTGCCCTCCACTGCTTCCCACCCGCCCGAGTCCCTGCCCAGGCTCGAGCAGGTGCCCCAGGAACCCCCCTGAGCCACTCTTCCAGGCCTGTTGGGTGCTGCGACCTGCCCACGGGGCCTGTCAGGGTCTCTGGCTTACGTGGACCCTCAGAAGGGCAGCAGGGCATGGTTCCTACACAGGCTTCAGGGACTAATCCTGAGACGGCAGGGCCACTGCAGCCGAGGGACGGGTGGGTAGGGGAGAGCAGCCACTTGGAACAGTGAGGCCAGCCCGCCACTGTCCGTCACCCCTCAGACCGGGTTTTGAAGTGCCCGCTGGCCTTGCCCGCTGCAGATGCTGGCTTGGCCGCCAGTTCTGAGACCTCTCTGGGCAGCACCTGTCACCCTGCACATTGCTGTCCACAGCTGTGTGGCTCGTGTGGCCAAGTTGTCCTGTGAAAACCTGACCTTGCAGGACACTCTCAGGGGGAAGGACAGAGCTAGGGACCATCTGAATCACCTCGGCTGCTCCTCTTGAAACAGTGGCCAGAGAAACGATGCTTCCGGCCAGCACAGCCGGCCCATCTGTCGGCAGGGCAGCCTGGCCTAATGGGGAGAGGGGCGGGCGGGACCCTGGGTTCATGGCAGTCACACGCTCTAGTTTGATGGTAGGGTTTGTTTGGATTCTAAAGTGTACGAGACTTACTGCGTGGAGCCAGGAATCAGACCCGGCCCGCAGAGCCTGGTGTCTGCCTGTGTTGCCCTTCCCCCTCGCCCCTTTGGCGGGCGGGGGGCTTCAGTCCACCCACGGCCCTGTCCTGTGTCTCAGCCAATGGTGCCTGTTTATGTGTGGCAGCACGGGGGAATCTACGTGAAGCGAAGTGCCAAGTTCAACGAGAAGGAGATGAGAGGGAAGCTGCTGAGCTACGTGCGTGCGGGCACCCCGGTGAGTGACCCCCGCCGCCCAAGTCCCCTTGTCTCTGCCCCACGCCCCCCTTTGTGCTTCTTGTTTTGGAGGCTGTTGGCCCCCGCAAGCTGCTGTGCTCTGTCCTCACCTGCTGCCAGCCAGCCCCGTCTCCTCCCTGGACCCTCCCCCACTTCTTTCCTGCTGGCCTCCGTGTTCCCGTCCATGCCAGAGACCACACATGCCCGTGCCCCCAAGGCTGCGTCTGTCACGTGCGTCACTCCTGTCTCCGCCCACCCTGGTCTCTCTCTGTCCCCGTGGTCCCCTCACCTTTGTGAGTCTGCAGAGCTTGGGCATTTGGGCACCCTCAGCAGGCCACCGGGGGACAGGCCAGCCGCCCCTCCTGCGTTGGGCTCCGGGGTCTGTGCCCCAACACCCCCCCCCCCCCACTGCCACCCCGGTTTTTCCTAGCTTGGTTGTGAGTAGGGTCAGAAGACCTGGGGGGGGCCCTCTCCCCCCTGCTCACCGTCCCCACTGCCCACAGTGTCCCCATTGCCCGTGTCCCTGCCTGCTCCTCTCAGTGACTGCTGTCTCTGCCACCTTCTCTGGCTCTAGGCTGTGGCCTCTGTGTCCCCTCCCCTGGACTGTGTCCCTGTGTTTTCTGACCTGTGTATGTTTTGGGGGATGGGGGGGGAATGCTGCCTTACTCCCCGAGGGCCTGTGGGGCTTCCTGGGGATGGACTGAGCTGGACGCTGGATCAGAAGCAGTGACCTTCACTCACTCAGTCTGAGTGCGAGCCTCCAGTTTGATTCTGTGATTTTTTTTTTTTCTTTTTGGGCTATACCCGGCAATGCACAGGGGTTACTCCTGGTTCATGCACTCAGGAATTAACCCTGACAGTGCCCAGGGGACCATATGGGATGCTGGGAATCAAACCCGGGTTGGCTGCATGCAAGGCAAACGCCCTACCCGCTGTGCTATCTCTCCAGCCCCGATTCTGTGATTTTCTGAGCGTGGCCACTCTGCTGGTGGGCCGGGTCCCTTTATCCTGCTTCAGGCAAACGCTTGGATGTCCAGTGGCTAGCAGGGACCGGCTCCCAGTGAGCAGGACAGCCTCTCCTGAGGCTGGTGACGATGTGAGGACGGCAGTGCTTGGCCCCCGGGGTCCCAGTGTGGAAAGCAGTTTCACGGCCCAGAGCCCATTACTGGGGTGTCGTGTTCTTGCTTCAGCATCGTCACAGTGGCAGCAGATGCCATGGCCTGAGCGTCTGTCCTCGGCTGCAGGCGTGGGGGGCGTGCAGGCCTAGGTCTAGGCAACGCGCCCTCCACCGTGCCAGGAACCATCCAGACCGACAGGCAGGAAGCTGTCTGCAGTCGACTCAGGCCAGAGATGGGGGGGGGGGGGGGGGGGGCGTGAAGCGTGCAGATTGTCACTCTCGCAGGACGACTGTGACAGACAAAACGTGTCCTTGAGCATCTCGGGGTCTGGAGGTGCCACACGCACACACCCATGGAACAGATACTCTATGGTGTGAACCGTAGAAGCATGCCACCTTTTTTTAAAAATATTTTTGGCTTCTGCACTGCACCTGGCGATGCTCTGGGGTTTTTCCTGACTCAGTACTCAGGAGTCTCCGCCAGCAGTGCTCAGGGTCCATCCTGGGCCGGGCATGTGCAGGGCAAGCACCCTCCCTGCTGTCCCATCGCTCCAGTCCCATGTGAGTTTATTTGCTCGTCCTCCCCCAAGAGTCAGAAAGAACCTCGGCAGACACGGTGCTCCCGCAGGCCCCTGGGGGCATAGTCAGGAGTGATCTCTTGGGCGCCTGAGCTGTTCAATCTCCCTGTCTCCTCTTGGGTCACGGACTCTGGGCGCTCCGGGGCGGAGCGTTGCCAGTCACATACGCGACTGTTTCCTTGGACCCCACGCATTTTTGTGTTCTTTCCTCTGCCCATTGTGTAATGGGCTTTTTAATGCATTGACTGTTTGTAATTATAGTTGCCGAAAGCTTTCAAGGCTTCCCAGGCTGGTACAGTTGTGGGCCTCCGTGGTAGAGAGGACCTGTCTTGGTTATATTCTGTGCATCATCTCATAGGAAATTGCATTCCATTTAAAGAGGAATCATTACTTAGAAGATACGTGTAGGTAACCAAAGTTTGTTGAGTCCTGTACTGTAAAAAAACTCTGGGGGTGGGGGGTGGCGACAGCCTGGGCTGCTCCCCAAGCTGGGACGACCCGGGCCCTGGGGCAGACAGTGGAGGAAGTGAGGGCTAAGACATTGGATTGATCAGATGCCGTTTATTCCATTCTCATCCCCGTTCACTCCTGTCTCTCTCCTTCTCTCCCGGGCCCTGATCTGGAACCCCTCTTTCCTGGCTCTGGCTCTCAAACTTGATCTTCTCCCCCCGCCCCCCCCACCCCCCAGCCCACTCTTACAGTCTAGTTAAATCCCCACAACCTTGAGGGGCTGGGCTTATACTTAGGTGTGGTCACAATTGATAGGGTTAAAGTTCTTCCCCTCAGGGGTTGCTGCTTCTAGGACAGATTCTCTTTCAGCAGGACCACCCACCCAAGGCTGGAATCCCATGGGTGTATTAATCATTTTGTATGGACACAGTAAGAGATGCATTAAGCTTATAGAATTGCTCTCCTGGGGTCATCCCGATCTCAGACTACAGTGCTCAGGCGAGATTAGTCTTTCCTATCCCTCACAGGGTCCTAGTGTTGTCATTACTTTTGGATCATGACAACATTTGTCATGTTCAAGCTCTTAAAAGGTAAAGGTAAAGGCCCTCCCGTTGATCGTCGATTTGCTCGAGCGGGCCCAGTAACGTCTCTATTGGAGACTTTGTTGTTACTGTGTTTGGCATATCGAATGCTCTCGGTAGCTTGCCAGGCTCTCTGAGAGGGGCGGAGGAATCGAACTCGGGTCGGCCATGTTGGCCGCTTGTAAGGTGAATGCCCTACCGCTCTTAACTTATAGTTAAGAATTGTGGCGCTTTGGCCAGGCCCATCTCAATGCCAGTATAGCACATAGCTTACCACTTACCTTGGTTCCACCCAGGACCCTGCTTTTGGGGGCACTAGGAATTGAGGGCAACTGAGGCTTAAGTTGAGAAAGCAGATACTCGGGAATGAATAATATTTGAAGCCAATTAAATCCCAAGTTACAAAAGCGTAATATTGTCTTCTTGTGTCTATACAAAAGGACATTGCTTTAAACTATTCAAAAGACATAAGGAGAGGAGAAAGGCAATATTATAATACAAGTTCAGTGTCCTAGAAAGATCTGACCTTACAAATGAACAGAATCTGATTAGGGGAATAAGCTGCTTAACTGTTTCAGGTAGAGAGCATAGATAAGTAGTTTACAAATAAACAAAAGAATGGGAGTGACTTGGGAGCACTTTGATGGGTGTGACCGATAAACCTAAGCACCTTGTGGCAAAGGAGAAAGGACAAAGCAGTGTTATCCTACACTGTGCTGTTTCTGTGTAAATGTGCCCACTTGGAACTGTTGCCCTGAATGTAATAGAATCTTCACAAAGGGGGGGGGGGGGCGGGGCGAGGTGACATCTCAGGGCAGACTTGGCTGCGCATGGCCAGCCCTGCTGCCCAGATCTGCACCTGGTGGGAGATGGGCCCGTTCCAAGGGAGCTCACCTAACTACCACCTGGAGAGGCTGCTGGGCACTAGTAATTCTGTCTGTCTGTCTGTCTGTCTGAAGTGGTCCATGCTCTCTTGCTCCCGTGTCTGTGTGCGGGCGACCCCTGGCAGGACGCTGTTGACAGCTGGAAACACTGGTAGCTCTTGTTAGAAGAGAGACAGAGCGGCTGTGAGAGGGGGTGTGTGCAAGAGGGTAGGGTCTGTCCGGCAGGGCCCTCCTGCCCTCCCCGTCCACAGCAGCACCAGGAGGTTCTGGGCCGCCTGTTCTCACTGGCCACTCTATCCTGGGGGTGCTGGGCCGCCTGTTCTCACTGGCTCCTCTATCCCGCCTGTTCTCACTGGCTCCGGGGGACTCTGGGCCACCTGTTCTCACTGGCCGCTCTATCCCGGGGGTGCTGGACCACCTCTTCTCACTGGGCCCTTTGTCCCAGGGGTGCTGGGCCACCTGTTCTCACTGGCTCACTGGCCCCTCTGTCCCGGGGGTGCTGGGCCGCCTGTTCTCACTTGCCCCTCTGTCCCGGGGGTGCTGGGCTGCCTGTTCTCACTGGCCCCTCTGTCCCTGGGGGTGCTGAGCTGCCTGTTGTCACTGGCCCCTCTGTCCCGGGGGCGCTGGGTACCTGTTCTCACTGGCCTCTTTGTCCCGGGGGTGCTGGGCCACCTGTTCTCACTGGCCACTCTGTCCCAGGGGTGCTGGGCCACCTGTTCTCACTGGTCCCTCAGTCTAGGGGCACTGGGCCGCCTGATCTCAGTGGCCTCTCTGTCCCAGGGTTGCTGGGCTGCCTCTTCTCACTGGCCCTTTTGTCCCAGGGGTGCTGGGCTGCCTGTTCTCACAGGCCCCTCTGTCCCTGGGGGCGCTGGGCCGCCTGTTCTCACTGGCCTCTCTGTCCCGGGGCTGCTGGGCCTCCTGTTCTCACTGGCCCCTCTGTCCCAGGGGTGCTGGGCTGCCTCTTCTCACTGGCCCCTCTGTCCCGGGGGCGCTAGGCCGCCTCTTCTCACTGGCCCCTCTGTCCCTGGGGGTGCTGGGCCACCTGTTCTCACTGGCCGCTCTGTCCCAGGGTGCTGGGCTGCCTGTTCTCACCTCACCTTACTTCTTCCTTTTATTTCTCTTGCCCAGCTTCCCTGGCTGGGGCTCCAGCCTGGCCTTGAACAGAGCCTGCCCATGCCTCGGCTCTCCGGGAAGAGTGTTCTGTCCCTTCTCTGTGCAGGCCTCCGTCCTGTTCCCAGGGTCCCACCGAGAGACCCCGCTCTCCCCTTCCCTGCACCTTCCTCATCTGTTTCCAGTGACGAGAGTGTGAGAAAGAAATCTTGTGTTCTTGCCGAAATCCTGTTATTTCCAATTAAATATGTAAGAGACGGAGAATATTAGCCACTCAGATCATGAATTGTCCCCTTCACAAATGATCGAACTGAAGCTCAAAACTGCCAGTAATCGCTCTGAATCCAACGTTGCCTGTTGCTAGCGTATTCCCACACTCCCAGGCCCGCAGTCTGGGCGCGTCCTGGGAGGTCCATGAGGATAGCAGAAAGGTCACTGGAGATTTTCTTTATGCTTCACAGATGTATCTTGTGATTTTTCCAGAGGGGACAAGGTATAATCCGGAACTAACAAAGGTCTTATCAGCTAGTCAAGCCTTTGCTGCTCAAGAAGGTAAGAAAAATCTGTATATGGGAAAATCAGTGCCCGTTTTGTTCCTGGTGTCAGAGATCTATGTACTTGGTGGTAGTTGGGGTGTGTGAGCAACAGCCCTGAGTGGAGGAGAGAGGCGTCCTTCCCATCGAGAGAAGGGCAGATCGGGGTTCCTGGCTCTGGGCATCCTTTCCCTGCGGCGGCATGTGGCCTACCGTGTGGGAGGGAGCATCTGCCTTCGGGCCTTAAGTTTGCTCCCGGGGCTGAGACGCCTGCCTCGGTGGTGCACCGGTGCCGTGTGAGTCCTGGGCACCGCATATGGTCACTGCAGGCACTTACAGGAGTGATCCCCCTGTCAAAAAACAAAACAAAACCAAAGCAAGAGTCTCTCTGGGTGCCACTGGGTCATGGTCAGCCCTGTTGACAGCCTGTTGAGGCGGGTGGAGGCGCCGAGCGGACTTGGGGGAGGGGGGTGGCGGGAGCCCTGAGGGGCAGCCCTCGGTAGCTCATGCTTTGGGGCCAAGAGCTGGCCTGGCTCTCCTCGGCTTGTTCCATGCCGCCTTCGACAGCTGTTTTGGAAAACTGGGGCTTCGGGAGCGCGTTGGTGTTCAGTCTTTCCTGTTATCCCCAAGCCTCCCTGGGGTAAAGGGCATGTTTACGCATGGTCTCAGGAAGGGGGTTATAGGCGCCAGCTTCGTTTCAAGAGCTGCTTCCTTAATTTGATGATTTTAGAAAGAAAACAGTAAAACAAAATTTGGGGGTGGAGGGGTGAGGAGGTCAGTTCTTATGGTTCCAGAAAGCTGTTGCTTGCAAAGTGTCCCTTCCGTGAAGAGGGCCGAGGGCTGAGTCCTGGCTGGGTCAGACGCGCGTGGGCGCCCGTGGCACCCGGCGGTTCCTGAGAGTCGGGTAAACAAGCATCCAGGCGAAGCTCTGCACATTCCCGTCCCTTCATGTGCCGGCGCCTGTTTGTGCTGAGGTGCTGCGGTGAAAGGCGCCCGCGGCCTGGTCTCGGCCTGCCCCTCGTCTCCACAGGCCGTGCACAGTTTGAGGCACTTTGTTCTCGCCAGGGACGTTTCCTGGCACTCTCGTGTTCTTTATGAGTTGAGAAGTTTATCTAGAGGGTTTTTATAGTCTGTGCCAGTTTTATTTTTATGACAGTACGAGATTCTGAGATTTCCAATGTGAAAACATTCTGCTAGGCCGGGGCAGCCAGCGCCGATGGCCTGGCTTTTGTGACCGATAGGAGAGGTGAGCCTGGACCTCTTGTTGTCTGCAGGGGTGTGGGAACCGGCACCCCAGCAGGAACCGCCTCCCAGTCACTCAGTATCTGCTACCGCTTCCGGTCACTACAGGGCTACCTTAGGGCTGGCCACGGGCCATGGACAGACCACAGCGCCTCTCCTGGCCTGGCTGAAGAGGGGACAGTCTGTTTCTTGTTTTGTTTGGGGGTCCACACTGGGCAGTGCTCAAGATCTGCTCCTGGCGGGGCATAGGGGGGTTCTGTGGGGTGCTGAACCCAGGTGAACCATGTGTGACGTGGAATACACACATGCACACATGCATACACACAGACATGCACATATGCACACACGCAGACACGCACACACAACCATTCCTGGGAGCAGTAGTGGGGGACAGGTCCGGTCTTTTCCTGGAAGCCCCTGCAGGGGAGGGAGATGCAGGAGACTGGGATGGCTTGGGGCTTGCTGAGGCCGCAGGTGTGTGCTGCGTGGTGACTCAGTCATCCCTGGCGCATGTGTGTCTGGGACTGTTATGATGGTGGCTGCTGTGTGTGAGGTGCAGAGGGAAGGTCTTCCTTTATGTGCACATGTTGTATGTGTTCCTGTTTCACACAGTAACACACAGACACACACACACAAACACAAGGGCTGGGGAGGTGCTGTGGACCGTGGTGTAGAGGGTTATTAGCACTTAATGTGGGTTTGGTGTGTGACATTTGACCCCTAAAACACACAAAAATGTCAGCACTCATAAGCAAAATCCAGACCATTTTTGGGATCGCTATCCTTTTTCCGGGTGGGTGTTCCCACCCTGGGTTACCTGTTCAGAACCGAGTGCGCCCCTCGGCCGCCCTCCCAGGACGCCAACAGGCTCCAACAACAGACGCTTGTTTCCTCCCGGCCCGAGGCGGCCGGACGCCCCAGATGCAGGTGCCAGACGCCCCTGGCTTGCACAGGGCCACGTGCTGCCGTGTCCTCACGCGGCCTCCAGACTCCGGCCCGGGCAGCTGCTCTGAGGGACAAGGCTCGCTCATATCCCCGCTAAAAGTTACTTTTCAAAACCCAGGAGAAATTTGCAATGCTAAGATGTCTTTTAAAGTGACTCTGTAGCAGCCTAATAACCGGAATGCGGGGGCCCTGTAACCTGATGGCCCGAACACCGAGGAGGACACAGGGACTGCTCAGGCACCTTCCTGGGACCTGGCCATCTTTCTTGGTTACCAAAAGAGACAAAACGAGGAATTTGGGTATGGAGGGTCCTAATGTTTCATGGCTGCGGTTCCTTCACTTCTGTAGCTGGGAAAGCTGTTGCTGTGTGTTGCCGTCTGTTTTCTTCTGGCCGTCAGATAATTATTTCCCGCCGTGCACAAAGGAAGTCGGTCTCTGAACAGTATAGCCAGAAGAAGTATTTCCTGTTTTCTTTCCTCCCAGGTCACTACTAACCGAGATTATTTGAAAATAAAAACAAAACAACTTGTTTCTCCATCTGTTTAGCTAATTTTTCTTCAAGAAAATGGAGACTCAGCACTTGTTAATCCGGTCGATCTGGGCGCACAGCCTCATCGGCCTTGCTCTGGCTGCGTGGAAGTCGAGGGCCCCTGTGAGCTTGTGTGTGACTCTGTCCCTGATTGTTCGTGAGTTTGGTTCGAGGACACTAACTTGGACCCCTCCCCCTCGCCACCTTCGAGGAGGGTGTCCTTGCCCTTGGCGCTGTGGTAATGGTGACCTTGGTGTGGCCTGTTGCGCTCAAAACGTTCAAACATACCACTACATGGCCCGCATCTGCTGAGTCAAAGGTCAGGGGGGTTTCAGGATGTGAAAACAGGAAAGAACCAAAATTAGAAGACTGCTCCTCCAAGAATCCAACTCTCTGCTGGGGGGGAGAGCGGGGGGGCGGGGGGCTGCTGGGCGGGGTCCCTGTGTGCTGGGGGCCTGGGCATGCTCTCACATACACCTCCCTCCATTCCAGGGAGCCCCCCCTCCCCCCGCCCTGGCTTGGCTTGGAGAGGGAAGGAGGGCGTGACCGTGGCAGTTCAGGAAGCCACTGTCCCTGCAATCCCCTCCTCCATCCCTGTCTGAGGGGCTCTCACCACCCTGGGCCCCCAGCCAGTGATCTTGGGGCCTTTTATGGGCTCTTTGTGGCTGTTTCCTCACCGTTTCCATGCAGGCTGGTATGGATGGAAGTGACCGTCCCTCCTGCCTGCCATTTCGCTCCTTTTAGCTGCCCTTTGTGAATAATTCTCCTCCTCCTCCTTTCCCCCTTCCCTTCCCTTCCTCTCTTCTATCTCTCCTCTCTTCTTCCTCTACCTCCTCCTCCTCTTCATCTCTCCTCCCCTTTCTCCTCTTCCTCCTCCTCTTCCTTCTCCTCTTTCTCCCCTCCTTTCTGGTTTGTTGTGGTACCCGGATTTCAACCTAGGTTCCTCACTTGCCTCCGAGCCACACCCTTGGCCCTTTTGTGAATCCTTGTTCCATACAAGGCGTGTCAGGATCTGAGGTAGCTGGTCCAAAAGTTGCGCCTGAGCCCCCAGGATCAGCCTGCTGGGACCCGGGAGAGCGGCTCTCGCATCTGACGCTGGCTTGGGACTTAGAAGCTCCGGCCCAGAAGGATTCTGTTCTCCCATGGGCCAGCAAGCGTCCAGGCGCCCCTTACCCCACACCTCAGTTACGGGAGTCTGAGGCATTTGCTTCCTGGTGGTGAAGGGATTTGGGTCTCATGTTCTGATCAGGCCACACCCGACCAGTGCCCGGGGGTCACTCCTGGCAGGCTCTGCGGAATGTGTGTGGTGCTGGGGATCAAGCCCAGGTCAGCCAGGTGGACAGCAATGCCTGGCCCTGCAGTGCTGTGTCTCCAGTCCTTCAACTTCCAAATCTTTACCTTCATCCTCCTCTGAGCCTTTCTACAGCTCAGGATCATATCTTTCCAAAGATGTGTTTCTACATTTCACTTTTTTTTTTCTTAAGCACGGTAGCTTAATTTAAAATCCCCAGAATGGAATTCAGGAGTCCTGTTCTCTTACTGTCCTCTGGTCTGATGGCAGACCAGCGACAGAGGGTTTTCATGGTAGCAAGCAAGTGATATCTTTGTGTCTTTTAAACTCTTTATGATATATGGCACTTAGTTTTCATCTCATGAATAACAATCACATTTGTAGGCCCTAAGAGCCCTCAAAACCTTCCTTTGTAGATTTGACTAGATAAAAATAACTATCATCCAATGAGGTTGGAGAGTTAGTACAGTGGGGAGGGCCTTGACCTTGCACGAAGCCGACCTGGGTTTAATCCCTGGTATCCCATAGGTCCTTCGAGCCCACCAGGAGTAATTCCTGAGCATCGCCAGGTGTGAACCAAAAACAAAACCAAACACATAAACACAGAAAGTAACTGTCATCTGAAACTTGTGGCACTGACACGCTTACTTGGGTATTGATGATCCAAAGAGCTCTGGCTGTTGGTCAGGAAAAGGCAGAGACCATTAATGGGGAACTGGAGTTGAAGGACTCGGGCGTGGACCAGTGTCCTTCCCTGAGCATCCACGGCAGCCTGGCCGAGCAAGTCCTATCACCTTGGGGGTGCCGAGGGGACATGATGGACACCGTTAGGGGTGGACTGCGTGCCTGGTGTCCCTGTACACTTCCTCTCCTCTTCCCTTCAGCCCGCCCTCCCCCTCCCCAGCTCCTCCCTCCTTTCCTCCCCTCCTCCCTCCCTCCCTCCTCTTCTCCCTTTCTCCTCCCACTCTCTCTTTGCCTCCTTCCCTCCTCTCTCCCCCTTGCAGGGGCTCTCTTAGCTCTGAGCCTGTGAGAGCCTCTTGGCTGTGCTCTCCTGTCTTCTCATCCCCCAACACCCACCTTCCCCCATCTGTGGGGCAGCTTTTCCTCCTCCTCCTGCTGCCTGACCTGCTGCCCCAGGCGTGGAGAGGGATGGTCCTCCCTGAGTCCACTCGCCCACCGCCACAGAGAAGCAAGCACTGCTCAATCCCCAAAGCCTATGGATACATAGTAGCAAACTAATACATTGCAACAAACAGTAACACACTGTAACAGAATGTATCCGCTCTGTGGGTGTGGGAATCTCCCGCTTTCCCACACCCAGGCTGCATTTCAGACATTCCTCTCGCTTGCCCTCTGCTTTGGCGTGCAGTCCCTTTTCCCTGGAGAGAGGTGGCAGAAAATCCAGCTCCAGGTTTTTCTAGCCTGTTTCCTTGGCGCTTCTTCCCAGAGTCGCTCTTGGCTGTTGACAGGTCAGCGGATGTTCTAAGCAGTGCAAAGGGGCAGTAGGAAAGGGGAGGCAGGTTCTGCCTCCCACAGGAGCATAACGAGGGGTTCTTTCCTGTAATGGACACACACATCTGTGCCAGCAGGTATGGTCAGCCCACACCCCACAGCACCTCCCCCTCCAAGGGTCCAGGGAGACAGTGGACAGGCCCCACCCACTGAGCATCCACCTGTGGCTGGACTGGCCCATCCCTGCCACAGAGCAACATCTCACACACATGCACACATGGAACACGCACACACAGTCATAACACACTTAGACACGCACACACGTGCATGCACAGAGCACACACTCATACGCACATGCACACACTCACACACTCATACACTCATGCACACTCATAAACACATGCACACATGGAGCACACATATACACTCACACATACACACTCTTACACATGTCTAAACTTACGTACATTCACACGCTCATTCACACATGTACACACTCACACGCACACTCCCAGCCGGCGCTGTAGGGCGGTGAGGGCGGGGTCGTGGCTGTCGCTCTGGGTTGGATGGCATGGTGGGGCCACAGCTCTGGGGCTTCCACATTGTGGGTTTCTCACCTGAGGAAAACCACACCCCGGGAAACGACGTCTTCGGTCTGCCTGCAGGTGTGGTCTGCCGCAGGGACTGCAGCCGCCAGTGTGAGGGCAAAAGAAAGTGCACGTGTCTGCACACGTCATGCACATGGGCACACGTTCCTTTGCACACGCTCGTGTTCAGAGCTGGGACTGTCTGAGAGGTGGGCGGAGGAAGTGGGGGGGGGGGGCGCTGTGCTCTGGACCCTTCGGTGCCCCGTCTTTGCTCTGCCCTGCTGTGGGGAGGAGCAGCTTCCTGCAGTGCCCGTCCGTACCGCCTGGGATGGCGTCCGGAGAGATGTCAGCTGTCCCTTTGCAGCATAGTCGGGACAAGTTTGGGGTTGAGACTGAGGCACTTCCCTCGCTTGCCCCACTTTGGTCCCTGAGCACCCCAGAAGCTGAGTCCTGAGGCCTCGCCGCAGCTACTGGCCCAATGGCCCTGGATCCCGGGGCGGGTGGGTCGGTCAAGGGAGCACCGCTTAGGAGACCCGAATTAAAAAATGTGGGTGCCTGTGAGGTGTGGGTCCCAGTGGGGTGTGGGTCCCTGTGTGGTGTAGGTTCCTGTGTAAAATGTGGCTCCTGCCCGTGTGGAGTGTGGGTGCCTGTGTGGGGTGTGGGTGCTCGTGTGAGCTGCTGACCGAGCCTCCTGGCTGCCTCCCGCAGGCCTTCCCGTCTTGAGGCATGTGCTAACTCCCCGCATCAAGGCCACTCACGTGGCTTTCGACTCCATGAAGAGCTACTTAGATGCCGTATACGACGTCACTGTGGCTTTCGAGGGGACGGTGGATGAGAAGGGTCAGCGAAAGGAAGCGCCCAGCATGACTGGTGAGTGGGCGGGTCTCGGGCCTTTCTCACCAGCTCCCGGGCAGCAAGGGCCAGGAGAGCCACAGCCCTATGGTTTGAGGCGGGGAGGGGAGGGAGAAGGGGAAAGAGAGAGACAGAGAGATGAGGGAGGGAGGGAGAGAGAACAGTTCCTCCTGCATGGGGACTTCTAGTGAGATCTTGTCTGCTTCCAAACTCCTGCATGTGGGTCTCCCCTGCCACTGGACGTGTCTCTCTCTCCACGTGTGTCTGTGCACATCCGTGCACACCCATGCATCCCAACCCCAGCTCCCCTGCACCAGGAATAAGCCCTGAGTACCACCGGGTGTGGCCCAAAAGGATAAAAAAAAGCTGTCCACTTTTAATATCTATTCAAATATGACAACTTAGCTGGCTTTTATTGTAGTTTAGGTGACATATTTGTCAAAGTGTCAGTGTCTTGGCTTTTCTGTGGAGTCACCGCCCTCGCCTGTCCTTAACCCCCGGTGTTCCATGGTCACACACACCTGACCATGTGGAGGAGACCCAGCGAGCTGCCCCCGCACATGTGGCCCTTCATACCCTCTGTCTTCTGCTTGTGGCCGCGTGTCCTGATGGCCGTGTGTCGCCCCCTCCCTTGGCGCATTCCCTCAGTGACACCCTGCTTGGGGAAAGGCCTGAGATGGCCGGGCTGCCAGCGGAGTCCTCCTGCTGCGGTGCTCCCCTTACGTCTGTGTCTCAGGCCAGAGGGAGGCGGCCAGCTCAGGGTAGCACTTGCTGGGCACAGCTTCCGCTGCTGGGGACATGGGTGACAGCTGAGCTGCCGCCTCTTCCTGCCCTCGCTCCCCAGGATTTGCCTTTCCAGGGGGCTCCAGGCCTAGGGGCGCTGCCCGCTCCACTGGGTCCTGCTGCTCTTGGGAGCCCTCCAGCCGTGTCCCTCACTGGGCTGAGACTCAGGGATGCCACATGAGCCTGCGGCACAGGGGGAGCCAGTGCCCAGAGAGGGCCTGGCCCTGCCGGCATGGTTCTGGGGCCGGTCCCTGCAGGGTGAGAGAGCAGGCGGGTGCGTGTTCTGGGCTGCTGTGGTGGGGTCTCCCTCCGAAGGGGCTTTGCTAGGGAGTCTGTATTTTTTCACGGGCGGCTCTTCTGACAGTGCGGCTTGTGGTGGAACTATGACTTCAGAAATGGTTTTCAAAATGATATATTTTTATTTTTTTCTGTTTTGTCAGAATTTCTCTGTAAAGAATGTCCAAAAATTCACATACACATCACTCGCATAGACAAGAAGGACGTCCCGGAGGAGCAGCTGCGCATGAAGAGATGGCTCCACGAGCGCTTTGAGATCAAGGACAAGTGAGTGCGGGGGACACGGCCCAGTCGGGCAGCGTCAGGATACGCCCCTTACACACAGCATGTTGCTGCTACCTGGCCATTTTGGGAGGTTGGTCCTTCCAATGTCCAGCTTAGTGTTTAGGCCTGTTTGTGCTGTCGCTGCTCTGTTGGGGTCTTCCAGGTGCTCTTGGGGCTGGGGACCAGGGCCAGCAAGGTTCAGCCACCAGGGCTCGATTGCTCAGTGCTCAAGCCTCTTGCCCAGGCCAGTGGGCCCTGCTTGAGTTGGCCTTCTACACTCAGAGCCTTCTGCTGACCGGCATTTGATTCTCTTTATTTGTGGGCGCTTCTCAAGCAGGACCTGAGCTTGAAGGTCACGCCCAGCACCTCTTGGTGACCCTGCTTCTGGAAAGCCACATCCTTTCCTTACCGATGTGTGGAAAAGTGTGAGCATGTGTGTACGTGAGTGTGCACATGTATGAGTATGTGTTTGTGTCTGTGTGTGCACATGTGTGTAGCGTGAGTGTGTATATGTGAGTATGCGTGTATTTGCATGTGTGTGTGCATGAGTGCATGTGTGTGCACGCATGTGTACACGTATGAGTGTGTGCATGAGTGTGTGTGTGCTCCTGGACAGCTGTGTCCATGTAAAGATCCGTTCTACCTCTGAGTAACTTCTGAAATGACACAAATTCGTAAGTTTCACGTAAGCTTCTTTTCGTGGTCTGCCTTCTCTGGAGAGCCTTTGTTTTTCCTTTCGTTGTCATATCATAGTGAAATATTTTCGAATTGACTCTTCAGGTCTGATTTTAGCCAATAAGAATCGTTAAAGGTCCTGGGGCTGGAGCAGTAGCACAGCGGGTAGGGCGTTTGCCTTGCACGCGGCCGACCCGGGTTCGGTTCCAGTATCCCATATGGCTCCCCTGAGCACCGCCAGGAGTAATTCCTGAGTGCAGAGCCAGGAGTAGCCCCTGTGTATCACCGGGTGTGACCCAAAAAGCAAAAAAAAAAAAAAAAAGAATCATTAAAGGTCCACACATTTGCAAGTGGCAGGCAGGCGCTTCACCTCCGTGCTGCCCGGGTGCGAGTGAAGCTGCTTCACGCTGCTGACAAGTTGTGGAACGTGTCCGTGCAGGCACACACCGTGTTTTGTTGTGTCTGTACATTCTTGGTTGTGCACTATATGATTTATAAGACCAACCATCCAGGTCGGCCACTGGTGGTTGGGAAAGGCCTGTAAGAACCTGATCTCGTCACGGAGGTCTGGGGGGGGGGGGGGCTTGTGTGACTCTGGGACGAGCCTGCATGTGACACAAGGGGTGACCTCTAGACAAAGTCATGCTCCGGCCGCTGAGGGCCTTGCTGTGCGAGGGGCTTCTGCTCTCCTCAGTGCTCTGGCCCCGTGGGGTCTGCACCACCCCAGCACTCGCCCGCCGGCTTCCGGCCCTTACCCCTGTATGTCAGCCCAGCTCTCCAGCCGGTGTCCGTGGCGGGGCCTGCTTCCAAGTACTGAGCCCGATGCACTTTCTAGTTCAGACTGGAACCTGGTCGAGGGTACTTAAGCATCCGAGACCCCGCCTGACCTTGGTCTCTAGGTGTCTACTTCCTGTTTCCCAAGCACACAGGCACTGTGCTACTTGTCGGACTGAGAAAGAATCGGAAGGACTAAAACTTGACTTCCCCCTTCCGTTCTGGCCGTAGGTTGCTGATAGAATTCTACGACTCGCCGGACCCGGACAGGAGGAACAAGTTTCCCGGGGAGAGCGTGCATTCTCGGCTGAGCCTCCAGAAGACCCTGCCCTCCCTGCTCGTCCTCAGCGGCCTGACGGCTGGCCTGCTGCTGACCGAGGCCGGGAGGAAACTGTATGTGAAGACCTGGGCCTTTGGGACCGTCCTCGGGTTCCTGTGGGTCAGCGTGCGGGCGTGAGCGTGTCCTCGGCCTGGGCGGTGTAAATAAAGCCTTGTTGACCGAACTCTGCACAGGAGGCAGTGTCTGACCGCAGGCAGATGCCCGGGCCCCTCGTGCCACGCGGGGCAGCGTGGACGGCCGCGGGGTGCGTGTCCCTGCCGTCGTCCTGGCCCGGAAGGCCGTGCTCACCCACATCAGTCTGTGGTCTCGTCGCTGTGTCCATTTCCGTTCCTCGCCCCAGTTCTCTTCACTGACGGCTTTGAGTCCTGCAGCCGTGGGGTGTTTCCTCTCTGGCGAGTCTCTCCGGGTCAGCCAAGAGTTTGTCCTTCAGTCCCAAGGGGGGAGGGGCAAGAGAACAGCCTGGCCCTGCGTGCCGTGTCCGGAGCCCACTCTGAGCCGGCCTCGCGAGCTGTCTGTGCAGTGACCGGCCCTTCTGGCCCTCCCGGAAGTGACTCCGTCTGCATGTCCGTCTCTGTCCTGAGGCCTGACATGTGCAGCACGAGGCTTGGGTTACAGTCGTGACCTGGTTGAGCCCTGGGAGCCTCGGTCGCCCCGCTTTCCACGCCTGGGTGCCAGGAACGGCTTACCTACCAGATCATCAGTGTCGCCCTGGGCGGGCCTCGGCTGGAGGCGTGTGCTGCCTGCCTGGCCCGCGCCTGCCCCTCGCCTGCCCCTCGCAGCTTCTCCCCCTCCCCGCAGCGAGGCCTGGGGGGTGCCCCCACACAGCCTCCCACACCCCACATGCCGCTGCCACGTGCAGCCTCTCTGCTCCCCTCGCCCCTTTCTCGGGGCGACTCCTCTGTGTGGGGCCCGAGAGCAGGCGTGGCCCCCGCCCCCAGCCCCCGGGGGTTGCGTGGAAAAGCAATTTCATGCCAAATTGCCGTTTTCTTCTTACCTGTGAAGTGTGCATCTATGTCTCTTATCAAACACTTTTTTTTTCTTTAACAATCCTGCAGTTACAGTTTATTTCTCAATCAGATCAAAATCAATGTGCGTTGTGTGACCTGGCTGGTGCAGCCATGCTGTGAGCCCGTTCTGAGGCCCTGCCAGCCGAGCTCGCCCTGAAGGCTCCGTCTCTATTCCCACAAAAGGTCCATCACATACTTGTTAGTTAAAACTCGTGACAAATCTCTGGAACACTAGCCACTTTGTTTTAACATGTACTGCTACGAGTGAATCATCATTCTCTAAAATTCGCGTTTCTGTGTCTACCTGTAAACCTTCTCCCGTACTCGCGTGTGAGCTGTGGTGTCATCGTTATTATTGAGTTCCAGCTTCTGTAGTTTTTCTTTACCCGATGGCCGTTGATCAGCATGCTTCGATGTTCTTCAGGAAAGGGTCTGTTTGGATGAGAGAAAAGAAAAAAAATAAAATCTTCCACTCTCTGAAGTCTGTGATACTTGACATTTGCAGTCTGGACATTCCCGAGCAGTCGCAGCTCCGCTTACCCTGCCTTCGAACTTAGCAAAGTTGTAAAGAAATGCATTGGATTCGCCGGCTTGGTCATAGAAACGGGATTTCATAAGCTGCATGCAATCACTATTTGAAAATTGTGTCAAATATCTGACTTCAGCCAGGTCTGTGCACGAGTACCAGCCTGATCTCCCTCTCTCTCTCTCTCTCTCTCTCTCTCACACACACACACACACACACACACACACACACACACACACACACACTCACTCACAGTTCTGTCATGTCGCATTTCCCGCTGACTTTGTGATGCCAATCCCCTTTGTATTCCAAGCGCATGAGCTTATTTTCCCTTTGAGATGTTATTTGCTTGACGATTGCGGTCATTGGGCGCACATGTCAACAAATCAATCTCAGTGACTGCCCATTGAAAAAGCAACTTCCAAGTGCTGTCTGTGCCCGGTGGCTGACCCAGATCGATGCCACGATCATCTGAAAGACCGGAGGGTCTGCCCAGGTCATGTGCCGTATGTGCTTGCACGGTGAAAACGCTTTAACTTCATATTATTCTACACAAATTCGGCTGAGGAGGTGATCTCGGCGAGTGCTTTGACAGTGTGTGTGTTGCTTGTATGTGTGGAAGTTGTGTGACCTTTTGATGGGATGGTTTCTGCTGACTGACGTGCATTTAGGCTGAAGGTCACCCAGTGGGTCACCCAGCATGGCCAGGGCAGCCCAGAAGCCCCTCAGCACTCCAGGGGGGAGGTTACGGGACCCAGCATGGAGATTCAGCGGAACAGATGTAACCTAGCTCCAAGCACTGAAGAGTACTCGGCAGAGGGCTGGCTACTGCAGGGAGGGCAGTAGCCTTGCCCCGGGTTTGGTCCCGAAGCCTGCTTGAGCTCTGCAGGTTATGGCCCTCGAGCAACCAAATAGTCATGGGACCCGCATCAGACTGGCAGGGGGACAGCCAATGTTTGATGCTCCCGGGGAGAGATGCCTGTGTCACTGCCGTCAGTTGGCTGTCCCAGGTCTTGGGACCATGCAGTGATGGACCTGATCCTTGGCATCCCTCGGCACCATCCCGGAGTCTGTGTGGACATAAAAGTGAACTGTCATTCCCATGTGGCTCATGAGGTCAGCTTCTTGGGTCTCTGCCCATGCATGGAAGGAAGTTGGTTTGGGGTCCTCCTGAGCGCAGGGGTGTGGCCACTGGCTTCCCTGGGGGCAGTGACACCCCTGCAGTGGTTTGTGCCCCCCGAGTGCTGTCTTGGAGTGTCCACCATATAATACGCATCCCTGGACCCTGGTGTGGGGCCACGACTCTCATGAGTAAAGGAAGTGGGCAGTGGCCCTGCCAGGCCCCAGAATCCAGCCCGGCTCACTGTTGAGACATGGGCCAGCAGGATGACCGGAGCCCCCAGCTTCAGGATGTCACTGCTGCCACACAGTCCTCTTCCCCTGGGGGACTTGGGTTCCTCTTTGGCAGCCTTTGCCAGCGGGTCAGATGGTTTCCAGGGCAACAGTGCCCAGAGAGCAGGCTGCCGTTGGCCCTTGTGGGAGGGTTTTCCCATCCTGGGGGGCCCCTGCTGCTCTCCATCCTGCCCCGTTGGTTCTGCAGTGGGGGGCATCAGGGGGCTCTGGCCCAGCTCCTGCAGCCACGTGTGGTAGGAGGCCAGTGGCCGTCTGCAGGGAGCACCACAGTCCAGCCCAACCTGGGCAGGCCTCTCCCCGCCCCGCCTCCTGCCTGAAGGACAGGTCACCTCTGACCCTGCAGCTCCCAAACACTGCCCAGGGGGCGGGCATGGGTCAGTCTGTCACCCCACGGCCACCAACATGCAGCCTGGCTCCAGGATTCCCCACAAGGACTTTTCCAGCTTGGGGAGGGGAGGGGCATGCCACGCTCATCTGGGCTCAAGAGTGACCCCTGGCGGCCCGGGGTGGACACGGCCTGTGCCGGACAAGGCCAGTACTGCGCAAGGCCAGCACCCTGCTGTCTGCTCTGCCTCCGCCTCTGTTCCTTGATAGAAAGTCGATTCCAGGAGGCACCGAGTTACTGTTTTATTTTCTGAAAACTGAGAGTCATTCCAGTAAGCTCAGGCACGGCCGACCTCTTGTAAATTCACGGGACCTGGTAAAAGTGGTCAGAGGACAGTCTTCCCTGCACCCACGCAGGGTCTGAGACAACCACCAGGATTAGAGGGCAGAGCTGGGGGCCGGGGATGCCTGCCAGGGCCCCGTGCTCTACTTAGTAAGTTCTTCTGGGGTTGGACTTAGTTTTGGGGGCTCAGAGCTGGCTGGAGGGGTCGGGGGACCCTCTGGGGCCCTGGGATGGAGCCCAGATGGTCATGTGTGAGGCAAGCGTCCTGCCCGCTGTCCCATCCTTCCGGCCCCAGGACGGATAGCGTGAGTCACCTCAGCTGGGTGGACCTGCGAGGGGACTTTGAGAGGAGATGGAGTTTCGGGGGGACAAAGTACCTGAAAGGTCGGAGAAAAGTGGAGGACGCTGAGGGTGCAGTGTGCCCAGGACAGCAGTTAACAAAGCAGCCAGGGCGCGTGGGGCTGTGCCCTCTGGCCTGTGTCTCCAGACAGCCGGGCCGGCAGCCACGGGTGTGGCCCAGCCCTTCAGCCATTAGAGCAAAGGCCTAAAAGTCTCCTTGGCGCTCTGCGGTCTAGCCAGGCTCGGCCTGGCTCTCCGGGGAGCCTGAGCTGGTAATTACTGGGGCGGGGAGAGGGGAACATTTGCAGGACTCCAAGGCCATCATGAAAGATGTGTGGGTTTGGGGGGTCACTTAGCATTTTGCCTCGGGGCTCCCCCAGAATAACCCATCTCTGCACTCCAGGCCCCGACTGCCTCTTTCGAAAGCTCATGTGGGGGTGGGAGAAACAGCACAACGGGGAGGGCACTTGCCTTGCACACAGCCAGCCCAGGTTCAATCCCCGGGAGCCCGGATGCCCCCCCACCGAGTTCATGGGGAGTGATCCCTAAGCATAGAGCCAGGAGTGATCCCTGAGCACAGAGCTGGGAGTGATCCCTAGGCATAGAGCCAGGAGTCAGCCCTGAGCACTGCAACCAAGAACAGTGGGCCGTGTCCTGCCCCAAAGCACTTTGAGCACTGCTTGCAGGTATAAATGGGGCCTTTGGGCACAAGCTGGGTAGAAATTCTTTTAGCTTAAAATTGAACAAGGTCAGGCTGGACAGTGGGTAGGGCGTTTGTCTTGTACTTGGCTGATCCGGCTTCAATCCCCAGCATCCCTGGTCCCCCGAGCACCGCCAGGAGTAATTTCCGAGTGCAGAGCCAGGAGTAACCCTTGAGCATTGCCCAAAAAGGAAAAAATCGAACGATGGGGTTTGCCACCCCCTGACTGTGCCTCTGACCTGTGGGCCCGCACCAGACCGGGTGGTTCTGGAGGCGTTGGAGCCAGTCCTTGGATGCACAGGGCGGGTAGAGCCGCATGGCTGATGCAAGCAAACCAGTTCCCAGTGTGCAGGGAAGAAGGTGCGTCTGCAAGGACGGTGGCTCATATGCACGAGGCATGTGCGTGAACAGTCTAGCGCTGTGACATGGCCCCAGAAGGGACACGGGCCACAGCCTAGCCGGAACTCTTTTCTGTCAGCAGACCCTTATTATCTTTCAGCTAAAAAAAGACTTTTTCATTTTTTCACCAGCTTGGTTTTTTGTGAATAAAAGAAAACTTCTTTCCACATGTAAGTAGCAAGGACCGAAGGGAAATTTACAGCTGGGGGGATGTCACTCAGTGCAGCCCCCTGGGACAGGGTGGACGCCCTGGCCTTGTGGCCTTGGCTCACGGGTCCCTCCGAAGATGGGGCCCGTTTTCCATCTATGACGCAGGGCGGGAGCGGGGCTGCCACTGGCCGTGGGCCAGCGTGGGGCCGTGACAAGGTGGCAGCTTTCCACACAGAAACCATGGACCCTCCGATGCCTGCCTGGGTGGGGCTTCCTCCCCCCAGGAGGCCTGGGCGGGGAAGATACCCGCGGCCCCTCCCAAGTATGGGGATGAGTGCAGCACCTGCAGCCTTTCTTTCAACTGTGGCCCAGCCCGGGGACGGGGCAGCCACCAGCTTGGTGTGGAGACCCGGGAAGTTTCATCCAATGGATGCTGTGCCCCCTCTGAGGAATGGGTGTCAGTAGGTTCACCCCACAAACTGTACCCGAGCATGGGAAGGCAGAGAAGTCTCAACTCTGGGCAGGGCTGACCGGGGGCGCCCACTGGCTGAGTCCAGGTGCGAGGGAGCAGGGAGGGGAAACCTTTGCTGCAGCAGGTCACCGAGAGCACCTCCTGGGAGCCCCAAGAGGCAGCACTGCCCGTCCTTGCCCCACGGGTCAGGCCCTGGACGCCCCTGACCCTTCAACCCCCTGCTGGTCACCGTCATATTTAAGGACACTCGAGCAAGCCGTCGGTCAGCGTCGGGTGCAGATGCATGATTGTGGGACATGAGAGTGTGGATGTGTGCACGTGTGGACGCATGGACATGTGGACACGGGTATAGGACAGTCTTGGCCAGAGACGGCAGGCTGCCCACCTCTCTGTTCGTCTGTCTGTCTGTCAGACTCCCAGGTATGTGGTCCCCCAGGGAAAGTCCCCGCCACAGATGCAGGGAGTCGGGCCGGGCCTTGGGCCCTGCGAGTACTTTTCCACGCCGCTGCAGGCGGGCAGGAGGAAGGGGTTCCTGCTGGCCGGGCTCAGCTGACCCCGCTCTCTCTCGGGAAGTGACCCGCACTTGGCTTCCGCTTCCCGCAGTGGGCAAAGGGCCACCGTGCTGGCTACAGGCAGAGGGTCAACCAGGGAAATGGGACAGATGGGGGGCAGGATGGGGAAGTGGAAGGATGGGGAGATGGATGGATGGGAGATGAACAGATGGGAGATGGATGGACGGGAGAGAGACAGGCAGAGAGGGACGGGTGGGAGATGGACCTCTCAGGCCAGCCGCCCTCCCAGGAGTTCTCACTCAGGCAACTGCCCCTTTGCCCCCACACCACTGTCTGTCCCCTCTATGCATGTCCTACCAGAGAAAGGCAGGGCCACTTTGCCTCTCCTCATGGACGCTGACTTTGCCTCTTCCTTCCAGACATTCCTGCATCTTGTGGCCCCCAGGGTCCTCACAGCCCTGCTGACCACACCCACTCCTCAGGCACCCTGGCCCTTCTCTGCTCCCTCTACTCTGCATCCCTGGGTGGTCGGTTTCTCCCACTGTCCCGGCCCAGATCTGTGGACCCACACGTCTGCACGTGTGTGTGTGTGGGGGGCGGGTGCCTGTGTTTGTGCACGTGTGAGTGCGTGTGGGCAGGACTTGGGGGTGATCCGAGCTCTTGTATCGATGGTCCACACCCCGCTCTAACCTAGTGCAGCCCCCTCTCTCTCTCCCAAGACCAGCCGGGTCATGCACACAGCTTTGCCCTCAGCCACCAGAGAAGGGAGCGAGTGGGTCCTGGGTGGACGCAGGGTGGTCACGGGGAGTGGAGTGCCCAGTGGCCAGGCCACAGCCGGCAGACAAAGGAGACGCAGCTGCCCTGTGTGTCCAGCTCAGACAAGGCCACACTGTGGGGACAGTTGTCAGTGGCGCTTCAGGGTGGGCGTGCTGGGTGCACAGCATGGCTGAGGGTCTTCAGGCAGTGACCGTGTATGACTGTGACCCTTCCCCTTTCCATTCTGCCAGACCCATGTGCGGGGATCCTCCGTCCATGGCGGACTCTGGGTCAGGGACTTGGTGTGCAGGTCCAACACAGGCCAGTTACAGGGAGTTCTGTGCAGGTGGGGTGTGAGCAAAGGGGAAATCTCTGTCACCCTGAGACTGCCCTGAACACACATGCACACACACACGTGCACACACACACACATGCACACACATGCACACACACATGCACGTGCACACACGCACACACATGCACACACGCACACACATGCACACATGCACATCAACACACGCACAGATAGCATGTGCACACACATGCACGTGTGCACACACATGTACACACATACATGCACACACATTAATGCACGTGCACAGTCAGCTCAGGCATGCACACATACACACACACACACATACACATGTGCACACGCTCACAAAATACCCTGGATTTCCAGAACTTTCAGCCCAGCAACTCAGGGGCACTCTGATCCCACCTGAACCTTGTAGGACTTGTCTGACAGGGCAGAATGCTGCTAGGGGTTGAAGTCAGGGGGACTTCCTGCAGGAGGAGGCCTCAATTACAGGGTGACTTGGCAGGGTGGCAAAAGCGGGCCTGGGACCTCTCACTGGGCTGAGACTTTGCCTCTAGAGACTCCCTCCTGCCCCCCTCTGGCCTCTTTTCTTCTGAGAAATGTTAACAAATTAGTCTCCTCCACCTCCTGGCCAGCTGCACTTGGTACTGCGCCAAGGACAATACCCAGTGAGCACAAACTGGCTCAGAAACGCCCAGGAGAGTGCCCCGACCACAGCACCCACGGCGCAGCCTCGGCCTCTTCCCCAGAGAGTCTGGGCAGTGGTTCCGCCAAGGGCAGCAAGGGGCCCTGCAGGGGGGAGCCTCATCCCCCTGCGGAGGCCCGTTAGAGCCGGCCTGGGCAGGCTGTGTGTGGGGGGACGGGCTCCCCGCTGGGCTGCAGGGGCGGCTGGGGGGCACAGGCAGCAATCGGGCACCCTCTTGATTTTCCTGTGAGCCCACACGGGTCCCCAAACCCATCTCCTGGCCCGTGGTGCCCTGGATACTCCCCTAAGCTCGCCTGCCCCCAGGTCTGACACTGGGCTGCCCTGCCTCAGCCCAGGTCCGACTCCTGAGCTCCATCAGCGTGGGGGCCTCGCTCTGGGCTCACCCTAGGGAGTTGCTATCCCTGCAGGTGGGCATGTCTGGGAGGGGCAGTGACGCCCTGGCTCCTGCCTGGCATGGCCTCCTGAAAGTCCTGTTGGGGGCCTTCCTGTGGGTCGGCAGTTCAGGAGGCTTCTGGAGACCTGCCCAGCCGTGCCCGGGCCCCTGAGGAGGGGGAGGAAGGGGACCCATCACAGCTTGTCCCCATGTGCAGGCCTGCAACACCTGGCCAGCCCAGAGGTCTCCACACAAACGCTGTGGAGCCGTGTCTGGCGAGGGAGCAGGAGCATGACTGACCAGGAGCAAGTGGCCGGACACAACTACCTGCCCCAGTCCAGCAGATGCTCAGTCCGGCTCTCAGTTTGCTCTCTGAGTCCCAGAACCTCACCTAGGAGTCCTGGAGCCCAGAGAGGCACCTGGGGCGGGTGGGATGGGCAGGAAGTTGGCAGGCCCACGGCGGGCCAGCAACCCCCACACTCTTCTCTTCCCAGGCCCCTGGGCCACCTGCCTCGGCCGGCACAGGCCACAGAGACCATCCTGGCGCTGGGAGGGGTGAGTAGTTTGCATTTTGGAGGCTCGATCATGTTGCGTGTGTCCAGAGATCCACTGGCACGGGGCTGGAAGTGAGAAGTAGGCATGCTGTCTTACTCTGGATTGCTCTGAGCCAAGACCCTGGAGTGTGACGGGGCTGAGCCAGGGAGCCCTGTGGAGACACTTCAAGAATTCGCCCGGGTTTGAGTCGGCAAAGGGGGTCAGTGGACGAAGGGGAGACACCTCAGACCACGGGCTCCCTCCCTGCACACTGTAGACAGCTAACGAGACTTGCCGAGGAGACTTCCTCCGGCACAAACAGCTATTCTGGGCCAGGGCCATTTTCCAATTGGGTGACTGGATGGTAAAGGACAAGTTGTTTTCGGGGTCAGTTTAGCGGGGGAGGTCATGAAAAAGGAGTCTGAGAAACAGTCGGAACGGCAAGTGGGCAACGTGGCCACGGCCCGGAAGTGTCAGTTCTCTGGACTTCTAGGGCCCATGGACGCGACACTGTCCCTGCGGACACTTAGCAGTGTTCGTGCTGGTCAGGTGGTTGGTCTTGAAGGAAGAGTTCAGGCAGGGCGTTGGCTGGCTGGGCTGGGCTGAGAACCCCGTGAAGGGCCGAGATTTACAGAGCCAGGCCCGAGAGTGATGGGGAAGCGGATTAGCCGAGATGCCACAGTGTGAGCCGTCCCAGGGAACCCCTTGCGTTTCCTGAACACTGCATCCCCACCCCCTGATTCCTAATAAAATTCTCATGAGAACAGAGGATCGCGCCATAAAAACTCCACGACTCTCCCCCATGAGAACTGGCCGCCAGAGAGGGGGCACTTGGGTTCACGGCTGTGGTTTATTTATTAAAAATTTCTCAGTAAATATATCACGGTCGGGTGGACAGTGCCTGCAGTGATGAGGGCGCTGTGGATCATTTCTGTGTCCCCAAGTTGGAAGGAAAACAAGAAGAGGCACGTCGGGAACGCACCCAACCAAGGACAAAAAAAAAGTGACTTTTTTTCCCCCTAAAGAAAGCTAAGAAGTGTTTGCTCCTAAGAAATCCCCAGCTGGCTGGCCTGTTCCTCCCTGTCCCTCTGACCCAGAAAGACCGGTGGTGGAACTGCATTTGCCAGAGCGAAGGCTGACCTCACAGAGCCCAGAACTCACAGAGGGTCCACTATTCTCAGAGATGTGTCCCTGCCACGGGGCGTGGCCTCTGCTCTGTGCCACAGGAGCTGGGTCTGAGGAACTGCCAATGTGCTTTTACTTTGGGCATGGCAAGCTCCCGCCTGGGGCTCCCAACCTGGCCCTCTTGGGCCACCACCTGGGAAATATCTGAGCCATCCATGTGGCCGGAGGCTGCCTGTCTCCACGTGGCTCTGAGATGCGTCCTCTACACCCAGATGCACCCTCGTTCTACGGAGACAGAGTGGCCAGCAGGAAGGCTCTGGGGGTCAGCCCCAAGGGCTCAGCTCTAGCCTGCCTGACCTGGGGAGATGACCCTCGGGGTGGGGGAGCCTCTGGGAGCCCCAAGCTTTTTGATTGCTTGTTTTGGGGGCCTGGGGATGCTGGGGCCACACCAGATGGTGTTCAGAAGCTATTCCTGTCTCTGTGCTTGGATGTCACCCCTGGCTTGGGGCTGGCAGGTGCCTTCCCTGCTGTCCTGCCTCTCCCTAGTGAGAGACATGGTCCTGAAACTGTGCATGCCGGCACCCCCCACCCGGAGCACTGACCAAGGAGGGAGACCGGAGCTTCCAGCTGTCTGCGCTGCAGGCTGGAATCGCAGGACGCTGATGTAAAGTCCAGCCCGTGGGCACCACCTTTGCTGTGGGGATGAGGCGCTTGCCATCTGCTGGAGATGTCAATGACTTTTTTGGGGGTCACACACTGCGTTGCTCAGGGACTCCTCCTGGCTCTGCACTCAGGAATCACTCCTGGCGGTGCTCGGGAGACCCTATGGGATGCCGGGGATCAAACCTGGGTTGGCTGCTTACAAAGCAAGTGCCCTCCCAACTGTGCTATTGATTTAATAGATTTATGTATTTATTTATTGAATTTTTTGGTTTCTGAACTTTGTGAGTGCATCACATATCTTGTAAAAGGTAAAGGCCCTCCCGTTGATCGTCGATTTGCTCGAGCGGGCCCAGTAACGTCTCCATTGGAGACTTTTGTTGTTACTGTGTCTGGCATATCGAATACTCTCGGTAGCTTGCCGGGCTCTCCGAGAGGGGCGGAGGAATCGAACTCGGGTCGGCCATGTTGGCCGCTTGTAAGGTGAACGCCCTACCCGCTGTGCTATCGATCTTGTATTTTTTTTAAAAACAAAAGCCCCCCCCCCCCCTTTTTTTGAATCCCTGTGAGATAAACCCTTCCAAAAGCTGTTCATGGTTTGGGTTTCAGTCATAGAGTTCCAACACCCGTCCCTCCCTCCCGTGTGCGTTTCCCAGCACCAGTGTCCCCAGGTTCCCTCCTGTCACCCCTACCCCACCTCCTGCCTGCCTCTATGGGCTTCAATGGCTTTAAACTGAGTCATGAGAAGTCCCTCCTCTTCCTTCTGTGGGAGGTTTGAACCCCAACAAATCCCAGCTGACCAGTGAGCACATGAGCAAGGGGCTGGGATGTGTAGAAGCACTCTGCCAGGTCGTCTACGGAGGCCTCTGGGCGCCCCGTGTGCAAGCCTGACCACTGCAAGAGGCCCTGCACGCAGGAGGGGTGGAGCGCCACCTGCTGGGGGCACAGCTCCACTGCCGGTCAGTGCGTAGCTTGCCGGCGCAGCTCCTGAGACTGGTACCTGGGCGCTGCCCCGGGTTGGGATGATGGATACTGCCCCGGGCCCCCTGTCAAGGAGGGTGTGGAGGGAGGCCACCTCCAGGTGCCAAAGAGCCACCCTTCTCCCTCTGTCTGTTAAGAATGCAGGCCCCAGAGAGAGAGAGAGAGAGAGAGAGAGAGAGAGAGAGAGAGATAGCACAGGTGGGGGTGGGGGTGGGGGGAGGGCGCTGGTCTTGCTCAGTCAGCCCGGGTTTGACCCCCACGTCTGGATCTGTGAGCACAGAGTTGGGAATAAGCCCTGAGCACAGCCACAGCATAAACTTGACTTATTCCAGGATAAAAACAAACACAAACAAAAGGCCATCCAAGCCCTGTGCTCTGAGATGCCTCTCTCCGCAGAGAATGAACCGGCCCTATACGGCAGTCACGAGTCAAGCTGGAGACCACGGTCAGCTGCTTCATCTAAGCCCAAGTCAGGCCCAGCAGGACGGCGCTCAGAGTGGTCAGTTGTGTGGAGTGACGCCAAGTCCCCCTAAGTCCGTCTTTCCGATCCGTCCCAGGACACAGAGCAGGGCCTGGCCTGCCGCCTTCCCATGGGCTCCGGGGTAGGGAGGGGCTCAGGGCTGCAGCTGTGGACCCGAAAGGGACTCAAATAAATGGACAGCTCAGGGGCAGTTCCCGTCATGTGCTTGTGGACAAATAACTTCGAATTCCGTGAGGATAGGGGAGTGTTGGTGGTGGGGGCCAGTTTTCCAGTCTCAGGCAGCAGACTCCCCCTCCCTAGAGCCCCCACAGGGACCCCAAGAAGTGGTGTAAGGGCGAAACTGATGCCATGACAGGCAGCAGAAATGAGAAAAATCAGGTAGGCCTGAGGTTCAGTTTCCCAAAAATCAAACAATGCGTAGCTAGCCAGCCTGGCCCTACCTGGAAAGTTCCTGGGCCCAGCAAGTGGGCTCAATCAGTCACAATGTGCCAGAAACCATAGAGAATGTAACCATAAGCTGTTATTGGAAACTATTGTTTACCTGCTGCCTGACCACTGTTGCCAAAGTGCTTGCTTAACTTTGAATCCTATATAAACCACTTGTGATTTGGAGTCAGGGTCCTTGTCAAGACTCCACTGTGTTGGATGAGACTTGGGCCCTAGCTCGAGCTAGAAGAAGGTTCCGTTGCTTTTGCATTATCGTGTGTGAACCTGGTCTCTCCACAACTGGGGATCTGAAACTCGGCCACAACAGTGGACAGGGCTGCCCTCTGCACCGAGGGTGGGGCCTCCGGATTCTCCCCAGACTTTCTTCCGGGGAACTCGGGAAGAGCAAAGGGCCGGGAGGCAGTTCTGAGGGCCTGAGCCAAGTGCAGTGTGAGGAAGCTCCGAGTTCAAGCCCAGCCCTGCCTTTTCCCCACCCAACACTGTCAGGACCAAACAGGAGCCCTGGGTCTGAGTGTCGCCCAGAGTGAAGGGGAAGAAGGGCTCGTCTCTCTCAGCAAATGCATCTTCTCTACTTGCTTTTGGGCCATACCTGGTGGCGCTCAGGGCTGACTCCTGCTCTGTGCTCAGGGCTCACTCCTGAGGACGGAGGGGACCCCATGGGATGCCGGGGTCTACAGGGTCTACACCCTCCCCACTGCACTGTCTCTTCAGCTACAAAGATGCATCTCCTCCAAAAGGGGTAGCAGGAAGCGTACTGACTTCCAATCCACATGTGCAGATCCGGCTAAGCAGGTCTACAGCACACAGGGAAGGAGCGACAGCATCGCCTCTGCCCGCCCAGCTTGGCCCAATCAACTCAGCCGGGGGAGCTGGTTGTGGGCAGCCCCTGAGAGCCAGACACTCAGCCCCATGGTCAGCCTGGGATTTCCGGGTACCTTTTCACAGCTGAGGCTGCCCCCGGGACAGTCCTGGTGTCTGGGCCCAGAGGGGTTTCCTACTGTGTGGGTCGTCAGGGCCCCAGAGGGGTGGGGTTTGGGATGGGGACTCACATCAGGAGATTCCTGGGCTCCAGGACTTTAAACAGGGTCCACTATCCTCTTACAGTGTCCTCCCAGACTCTGGCTCTGGACAGCAGACAAGGCGAGAGGCTGGTGTTGGGGTGACGAGCTGTCCCCATGGCCCCGGTACTCTGGGTCTCAGCTGACCAGTCTTGTACCCCAGAAAATTCTCTGTCCGGGATAACTGGGAGTTGTGACTACTTCCCAGACTGACTTGGGGATGAAGGTCACTGCTGCCTTTAGCAGAAGCAGTGGCCGGAAGTGGACAGAGGTCTTTCCTAGTACTCCAAGAACTCAGCATGAGGTGTCCCCAACCTCGGGCATCAGGGAAGACAACCCTTCCACATCCAACTTCCTTGGGGGCTGGACTCTCGGTCCCTGTGGGCTCCCTGACTGGGCGTTAGGACAGGGGGACACCCAGGGGAGGGAGAGGGGAACGCTGAGGGGAGGAACAGGTGCTCTCCTGGATGGCAGCCTGGTTCCAGACAGTCCCTCTGTCTATGGGGAGGGGGCAGTGGGCAGGGGCTGGAAGCAGGTGCTGCCCCCAGTGCGGGGGGAGAACTGAGCATCATCGAGGTGCTGCTAAGATGCCCCGGGGGACGTGCAGCGAGGGAGATGTCCACACCCAACACAGGGATAGCTCGGGGTACTCAGAACACAGTTCTCTCTGGTTAGAGAGACAGGATGCAGGGACGGCAATGGCCTTGCACTTGCCCATCCTGGTTCCATCCTCAGCACCTCTCAAACTCCAGCCCCAGCCATGCTGGGTGTGGCCCAACTCCTCCCCAGCCATGCTAGGTGTGGCCCAACTTCCTCCCCACCCCAGCCATGCTGGGTGTGGCCCAACTCCCTCCTGCCCCACAAAAGAGCCTTGTGTCATTCTCTTGATCTTGTTTGTGGGCTCCATCTGGGTGTCACACACAGGGCCACAGTCTGACCCAAAAACTTTCTCTGAGAAAGAGCCAGAACTACGGTGGTGAGGGGCACTGGTGCTGGACACAGTGCTGTGGGCTGGGCTGAGCCCACTGACGGGTCCTTTCTGCACCGTGGCGGGGTATGGGCTTGGGGGCTGCGGAGAACGGCCGGTGCCCCTGGGTGGGTCACACAGCGCCTGCTGTGGCCTTCTGCTGCTCCGTCTGGCCACGCACCCCGGGGGGGCACTCAGGCTTGGGGGTAGACGTGAGGCACGGCTGGTCGGCTGGCCTCAGGCTCACCCCAGACCGCGCCCTCGGGGGGCTCAGGTGCCCCGCTGGCTCTCCGGGCTGTGCCCCTTGCTCTGAGTGAACTCTGCAGCTGCCGTGGCAGAAGCTCCTTCCTGGGCCACGGATGGGGCTGATGTTTGCCATGGCCATGGGAAAGGAGCGGGGGGCCGGCTGGGCCTGGTCACTATCCCCCAGCCTCCTCCTGAAGTGGGGGGTCTGTGTCATCAGATGTCCAGCTCGGGGTGATGGCGTGGTCCCATCAGTCGTGGCCCCATGAGCCTTTGTCCTGTCAACCACGGTCCCATCAGCTGTGGCCCTGCCAATTATGGTTCCACCAGTCATGGTTCCACCAGCCGTGGTTCCTGTAGCTGTGGTCCCGCCAGCCGCGGCCCCATCAGCTGTGGTCCCACCAGCCGCAGCCCCATCAGCTGTGGTCCCACCAGCCGCAGCCCCATCAGCCATGGTCCCACCAGCCGTGGTCCCATCAGCCATGGTCCCGACAGTCGTGGCCCCATCAGCCGTGGTCCCGCCAGCCGTGTCCCCAATAGCCGTGGTCTCTCCAGCCATGGTCCCTCCAGCCATGGTCCCTCCAGCCGTGGTCCCGTCAGTTGTGGCACTGAAGTAGAGCGTGGGGCTCCGGGGGGGCCCCCTGCCCCCACAGGGACTGTCTTCAAGCCTCGAGGTGGAGTCTTTGTACTGATCATCATCGCTGACAAAGGAGACATAACTTGAGGCTTCCGGTGGGCTGCCCGCTGCTCTCTCTGCCACCACCTCTGGGGGTGAGGATGGGGGTGCTTTCTGGGGAGACAGGGGTGTCCTCTTCTGGGGGGAGAGTCGGCTTTTGTCCCACGTGGCAGGACAGCAGCCGCCAGCATGATGGCCTCCGAGCACCGCCCTGAGCCGGGCCGGGTTTCCTGTCTTCAGCGCCAGCTTCAACAGCAACCAGTGGTGTTGGGGGACGTGGGGTACCCCGGTAACCCAGCTCCCAGCCCAGCCGTGGGGGCAGTCTGAGGCTGGCAGCGGCTTCTGCACACTTGCTGGCTCATGGCTGTCCTTGAGGTCGGCACCCGGGTCGCCCCCAGGAGGACCCCCATCTGCGCTGTCATCCCCCGCCCGGCCACAGAGGGGCCTGAGGAAGCGTGACCGGATGGCCGTGGACTCCGGGTGCAGCCGGCTGTAGTAGAGGACCAGAGCCACACCGCCTGGAAGGAAAGAACGAGAGACAGTAGTCACCCTCGCGGGGCTGTGCACGGCCATGGTGGACAGCGTGTGTACGTGTGTGCTGGGGGCTGCCCGAGCCACCCACTCCCCCAGGAGCCGTGGACGAGGCAGCAGAGCCCAAGTCCACAGAGACTCCTACCTGGACACACCACAGCAAAGCTGAATCCATCAGTCCCAGAGCCCCCGAAGTGTTTGTGTAAACATGTATCTGCACGATCACATGTATGTCTGCATGCATGTGTGGTGTCATGCGTGTGTGTCTGTTTGGTAGACATGTTAACTTGGCTTTGGAATGACTGGATCAGTGTCCCTCGGGCACAAGCCCATGGCCAGCTAGCAGAGGAAGGGGGAACGCACGCTAGTGTCACCACGGGCCCACGACGCAGGGTCACCGGGCCCTCGGGAAGCTGCCAGGAGCTTCCATGCGCGACAACATTTCCTCTGCGCATAAGCAGCGTTGTTTACTGGTCTGCTCAGCGCTGCCGTGGCGGCCGTGGCCTCGGTCGGCCGCTCTAGCTTCCTGTGGAAGTGCTGGGCCTCATGAGAAGCCGCACGCATGGGGTGGGGGTGGGGCAGGAAGTGCTTGGCTTGGCAGGGAGCGAGAGAGGGGTCATGGTGTCGGGCCTGGCCATTGTCTCACGAGGGTCCCGGCCTCGACCACAGTGTGGGGAATGGCAGGGCCACACAGGGGGTGCTCTAGGGTGGTGTGGCACCTGGGCCTATCCCTGGGGCCTACAGCTGCACCCTGAGCCCTCACACCGCACTGTGGGGGATACGGGTCACATGGGCTCAAAAAGGCTCTGGGACAAGGAGACCCAGCAGCTCTGACGGAGAGCCCCCTCCGGCCTGCTCACCCCGAGCTGAGAACCTGGATGCCGGGCCACCCTCCTACCCCCGAGAGCTTGGGAAGTTGGGGGAGGGGGTGCAGCTGCAACTTCTGCCCATGTCCAGGCCCTACTGAGTCTCTGTGAATCCTCTCTGGACCCCATTACGGTGGGGTCATTCTGCCCTTTATGCTTTTCTCTCTAGGTTTATTTTGACTTCTGGGCCACACCAGCAGTCCTCGGGACTGACTCCTGGCTCTGTGCTCAGGGGCTCACTCTTGGCTCTGTGCTCAGGGGCTCACTCTTGGCTCTGTGCTCAGGGCTCACTCCTGGCTCTGTGCTCAGGGCTCACTCCTGGCTCTGTGCTCAGGACTCACTCCTGGCTCTGTGCTCAGGGCTGACTCCTGGTTCTGTTCACTCCTGGCGGGCTTGGAGAGACCCTGTGGGGTGCTGGGGATGGAGACCGGGTCTGGTGCATGTGCCCTGCCCACTGTCCTATCGCTACAGCCTTCTCTTTGTGCTTTTTCAAATGCTATGACCGACGCAGAGATCTCTCTGTAATGAGGAGAATTTTCCATGACCTCAGAGGAAGCATTTGACTTGGGAAAGAAGAAGCAGGCCCAGACCAGTGGGCTGACTGGCTCATATCACGACCAGGGATTAAGAGCAGCTGAGCCCAGGGTGGCCAGCGGGATCGGAGGGGAGTCCCCACTGGACAGACCCCACAGTGTAGGGCCTGGTCTGTGTCTCATCTGCTTGGCAGAGTCCTGTGCCCACTCCTGTGAGCACCAGGACCTGAGTCCCCGCGCCCTCTTCTCCTCAGGGACAGGATCGGGGGAGGGGTTGGTAGTGGGGCAGCAGAGCCCTGAGACCTGCCCACGACCCTGAACCCTCTTCCTGCTGCCCTTGGATGGGGCAGGGGACTGGTGGGGGTGGGAACGGTCTCCTAGGGTCTCGCCAAGCGCTGGTCGGGGTCGGACAGCTCTGTCCTCGGGCTCAGGAGGTGCCTGGCCGCCAGGAAGCCCCTGACCCTGGGTGGGGGTAGCCCCCTGTGCCTTGGAGCCCAGATGCCCACCTGGACGCGAGTTTGGACCTGCCTCTTACCGATGAGGGTCCCCAGCAAGGCGCTGGCAGCTGGCCACAAGCTGCCCGATGGCGGCCACTGAGGGAGGTTGGTGGCCAGCAGGAGCAGGGCCACGTTCTCCAGTGACATCACCTGTGAGGAGGAGACAGAAGGGTCACCCTCCCCTCAACCCCTTTTAGGGCTCAACTGTGGCCCAGCCAGTGCCCAGGAACCCCCTTCCCCCAGTCCACGGGGAACCCTGGTCCTCCACACCCCAGTCCCTGGGGCCTAAGCCAGGCGCTCCTCACCCCTGAGCACTCATGCTCACACCCTCGCACTCACAGGCCGCACACACTGACACACACATTTCAGCCTCCTATACACACAGCACCACTCACACAGATACACACTCATCCCCTCACACAAACTCTCATACCTACCCCTTCACAAACATACCCTCACACACACACGAACCCCCTCACACACATTCACCCCCTCACACAAACACTCATACTCACCCCCTCACACACACACAAACCCTCACACACATTCATCCCCTCACACACTCACCCCCTCACACACACACCCTCACACACACACACTCACCGCCTCACACACACAAACCCTCACATACACACACCTTCACACACTCACCCCCCATACACACCCCCTCACATACACACCCTCACACACAGACACTCACCCCCTCACACACACACTCACCACACACACACACACACACTCACCGAATTCCCCTGCCCCCCCATGCAGCCCCTGCCAGGCGGTAGGACTTGCCGTGTAGAAGGCAGCCACGCGGCGCCCAGAGGGGCCGCCCCAAAAGTTCAGGTAGCAGAAGATGCCCACAGCGCCCACGAGCAGGTTGAAGAGCCTCCAGTGGCAGGTGCTGTCCACCACGTCGCTCTGCTGCGTCACCAGCCAGAAGGTCATGGCCAGCCAGTGTGCACCTGGGAGGGAGCAGCCAGTGAGGGTCCAGCTGTGGAGGGCATAGCCCTGAGCAGCTTCCGCCTGGTCCAGTCACAGAGAGCAGCCCCCTCCCAACGCTGTGTGCTTCCTGGCCTCACGGTGAGAGCAGGGGTAGGAGGTACCTAGCTGGGTCCCACCCTACTGGGTGGAGTTTTCCCAGGGGTGAGGGGGCTGGGCCACACCTGGCTGCCCAGCTGCCTTAGGCCAGGGAACTTACAGTGGCAGGGATGGAGCTGGGTCATCTGTGCACAGGGGAGCGTCTCAAGCCCTGAAGTCTTAAATAAGCTGGACACACAAGCCCACCTGACCAGCAGGGCTCTTCTGGTCCTTGGGCCTTAGCCCTTGCCCTGGGGAGAGCTGTGGCCCCGGATCCTCTGTTCACGCCCATGAGGCCTACCTGAGGGGCTTTGGGTCAGGGGAGTCCCAGAGGAAGTGAGGGCCAGGCCCCCCCCCCCCGCCCCCCAGAGGCGCCTGCAGTCTCTGCCCCCTGATAGGCTTCTAGAAGCCTCTCAGGTGTGGAGCTGGGGCTCGAGGGGAACCAACTTTGGGCCGGACCCTCCTTCTGTGTCCTGGCCAGCACAACAGACCCGAAGGGCCCTGAGCAGTGTGTGGCCAGTTCTCCCGGCCCAGCACATCAGGTCCTTCCTTCCTGCTAGGGTCCTGCTGCCTCAGGCTCAGCCAGAGGGTCTAAGTCCCTGAGTCCACACCCCCCCCCCCCCACACACACACCCCAGCCGGCCCCTTCAGCGAGCAGCAGCTGTGTGAGGGCATCTTGTCCTGCCCTGCGCATTTCGGTCACATAGGAGAGGGGCTGGACCGGGCGAGGCTCACCTGTGACAACCAGCACCCAGAGGCGGTGAGTTCTGCAGAAGAGAACCAGGCTGAGGACACGGGCGGCCAGCATGCCCATCCTCCAGAGCAGCTGGCACAGCAGAGCCACCCATGGTGCCGGGGGTCCGCCCCGCCTCATGGCACCCAGGCACTGTGTGTAGCAGGCCAGTGTCCAGGACAGCGACAGCCAGGCACACAGGGCACTCACCCCTGCAAGGAAGGGGCCAGCACAGAGTTGGGCACGTGGGAGCGATCACAGGGTGCCCCAAGCAAGTGCCCCAGTGCACGATTTGCAGCCACACGCATGCTTATGTCTACACGGGGCAGAGAGAGGGCAGCTGGGAACCGTGCACACACACACACACACACACACACACACACACACACACACACACGCACACGCACATGCACACGCACACACACACACACACGTCTGCCCGCGGCGGAGAGGGTTGGCTGGGGAATCGCAGCAAACACACATGCACACCACACATGTGTCTGCATGGGTAGAGAGGGCAGTGGAAACTGCAGCAAACATGCACACACATGTTTATACGGGTCAGAGAGGCAGCTGGGAAACTGCAGCAAACACACATGCATATACATGTGTCTGTACGAGTGGAGAGAGGGCAGCTGGGGTACCATGATGCTGGCTCCCCCCAATTCCTGGCCCTTTCTCCCAAGTCCCTGGATAAAAGCAACCACAGCCCTGACCCCCCACCCCCTAGCTGGAGGCAGGGCTCAGAGACAGCTCGTGGCCCAAATGAACCCCACTCGGGTCTGCAGAGGAAGCTTTGGGGAGACCTTTGATAAAGATGGTTCAAGTTTGGGCTGGAAGGTCACCTGCGAGCACTCAGGAGCAGGATGGAGCCACGAGAGGAAAAGGAGGAGTAGAACCCACAGAGATGAGGGAGAGGGGCTGAGACACCTCCCCCATGCTGGGGCCGTGCTCCCCAGGGCTGTTTCCATGTGGTTCAGCTCCCACGTGGCTCTGGGGGTCAGGTAAGGATCCCGCTTCCCCTGGAAAAAGCTGATGTTGCTGCAAGGCAGGTCCCTTCCCGGGGGGCTTCTGTCCAGGCCCATCTGGGGGGGTGGCGCCCGGTCTCCCCTCACCTGGCATGATGGCCCCGGGGTCCGGTGCGAGGAGGATGTAGGTCTGCAGCAGCAGGTGCGGCGTAGACTGCAGCAGGGCCTCGAGCAGGCGCAGGGTCCCCAGGGTGGCACCCTCTAGCGGTGGCAGCTGGCCCGGGCCACTGTGTCCCTTGCACAGAAGTGTCCATGCCGCATTCCAGTGCCTGAAAAGGGACGCGTGTTCAGGGGCCGACTGGGCTCCAGGGCCTCATGCAGGGCCATGTGGCAGGTGGCTCTCCCGGAGTCCCAACTGTACCCGAAACCATGGCACCCGGCTGCAGCCATTGTAGTCCCCAGAGCAGCCACAGTGCGGGGGCTGTGGGGACTCAGGCCTACGGGCTGTGGTGGGGCAGGAGGGGGGGGACTCCAGGGTGAGGTGTATGTGCATGTGTGCAATCCATGTCGGGACATGTGTGCATGTGTGTGGTTCATGTCAGGGCATGTGTGTGGTCCGTGTCAGGGCGTGTGTGTACATGTGTGGCCTGTGTCAGGCATGTGTGCACGTGTGTGGTCCATGTCACAGTATGTGTGTGTGTGTGTGTGTGTGTGTGTGTGCGATCTGTGTTGGGGTGTGTGTGCACATGTGCAGTCCATGTCGGGGCATGTGTGAGTGTGTGAGGGTCATGGGGCTGGACCCGTCCTCACCGCTTCCACACGCCCAGCTGAAGCAGGTGCAGCAGCAGCAGCCCGCAGCCTCTGCGTCCATCTCGGTCCTCCCGGAACCACAGGTAGCTCAGGCCCTGGACCAGCAGGCCGGGCAGCTGCAGGCCCAGGCCCAGCCACCCCCACAGACAGTGGCCGGTGGTGAAGTAGTAGATAGGGCTGCAGAGTCCTGGGGAGCAGAGGGCGGGGTGACTGTGGGGCTGTGCCCAGGGCCCCCACAGGCCTGACGGGGCTAGAGAGGGGCTGGAGAGGCAGGACGGGCAGCTGCCATGGCACCTGGCCCTGCGAGCACGTGGGGATGGGGCTTGTCCCTCGGGGTCCAGGGGCAGTGCTGAAGTGAGTGCCCCCTTCCGCCTGTCCCAGTCTGCGGCCACCTGAGGGTTAAAATGCCAGGACACTGCCCAGCGCTTGGTGCTCACTAAGGCTCAGGGTAGCCTAGGGCTGGGCGCTGGTCGGGCAGGTGGTGGTGGTGGGGTCTGGATCTGCCCTCCAGGGACAGATCTGAGCCTGTCTGGGTCCCCGTGCCTGCTGGAAGCCCTGGGGTCAGGGGGTGGGGAGTCGCATCTGCACAGGGAGCCTCTGGGATCAGATCCCTGAAATCCAGCCGGCGCGGAAAGGGTTACAGATTCAAACGCAAAAGGCGCTAAAAAGTGTTGCCATCTTGTGTCTGCCGGCGGGAAAGCTGGGGATGGAGTCACAGTCCACCCGGTTCCCAGGAGACCTGCACAGAGGCCGGGGCAGGTGGGGGAGAGCAGCACCGGACTATTTGACCTCTGGAGGTCAGTGCGGGGGGGAGGGGCATGAGATCCAGGTGCGCGGGGGGGGGGGGGGGGGGGGGGCATGAGATCCAGGTGCATATGCAGGGCTGGGGGGGGGGGAGCATTCTGGGGAATATGGGAGAGATCGCGCATTCTGGGGGCGCCCGGGGAGACCGTGCGTCTGGGGGCTCGCGTCCCTGAGTCAGACGGCTGCGGGTGGTGTGGAGGGGCTGTCCACTCACGCGTGCTCTGCTCGGCCACCAGCAGCAGGGCCCAGACGCCCAGCACCGCCGCCTGCATCCTCTGCCTCGGCCTGGCGGCTCGGCCCGCCCCTTTCCCCGCCCGCGTGGGGATCCCGGTCCCGGGTCCGTTCGCATTTCCGGGCTGTGACCAACCCGCCCAGTGGTGGCGCCGACTTCTGGCCGGTCGGAGAAGTGCCCCGCTCGGCTGCCTTGAAGAGCGTCCAGGTGGGCTCGGACAGGACCTGGGCAAGGCGGCTTTTCTTCCAGTCCAGGAGCCCTGAAAAGTACCTGGTATCCACTGGGCCCCCCTGGGCCGGCCTTTCCCCAGGCCCAGCTGCTGACCAACGCATCCACCTCTCCTACATGTGCTGACCCTGGAGTGAAGTCAGGATCTGTGCCCACGGGGACGGGGTGGGGGGGTGGCAGGTTGGTGCACGCGCATCCTTTTAGTTCTAGTTCGGGAACTTCCTGACAGCACCCTTGGGTGTTGCCGCTCCCCACTGTCTGGCCTGGGCCCCTGCAGAGGGTCTGGCCCCACAGAAGGGGTCACAGCCGGCCAGGTTGACCCAAGAGCAGGGCTGGGGTGGGGTTCTCTTGGAGTTATGTGATGTTGAGCCCCTGCAATGAGACCCTCATCTGACACTTTCTTCAGTCCTGGGTCTAGGGTGAAGGAGCCCACTGGTTGGGAGAAGCTCCAGGTATGAGGGGATGGAGAGAGGGAGGGAGGGAAGAGGAGGAGGAGGAGGAGGAGGAGGAGGAGGAGGAGGAGGAGGAGGAGGAGGAGGAGAAGGAGGAAGAGGAGGAGGAGGAGGAGGAGAAAGGCGTGCAGGTCCCTCCCAGCTCTCCACACCAGATCTTTCTGGGGCGGGGGAGGGGGGATGGTGAGCGGAATGGGGATGGCAGCAGGAAATAGAGCCCATCTGGGCTGCTTCTTCCGACCCAGACCCAGAGGGAGCAGTCAGCCCGCGACGGCTTCATTAGCACCTAGCCATTGCCTTAAACTTTGGAGGAAAAGTAAGAGCCGGAGAGTTCATCATCATCATCATCATCATTTTAATTAATTAATTAATTAATTAATTATTTTTTGCTTTTTGGGTCACACCCAGTAATGCACATGGGTTACTCCTGGCTCTGTGCTCAGGAATTACCCCTGGCAGTGCTCAGGGGACCATATGGGATGCTGGGAATCGAACCCGGGTCGGCCGCGTGCAAGGCAAATGCCCTGCCCACTGTGCTATTGCTTCAGCCCCGATCATTTTAATTTTTAATGTAGGAGTACTGCTATTTATTCAGCCACTGATTAAGCTGATTGAAGCGGGCAAGAGTTCATTATTTTGAGTCAAGAAGAGAGGGACAGACATAGAAGGACTACACTCATTTGTGGCGTATAAAGTAACAGAATGAAGACTAACACCCAAGGATAATAGAGATAACGGCCAAGAGGATTGCACATGGCTTGGAAGCCCGCCTCACATGCTGGGGGGAAAGGCAGCTGGGGTAGAGAAGGGACCACCAAGTAAATGATGGTTGGAGGGCTCGCTCGGGTTGGGAGATTTGTGCTGAAAGTAGATTATGGACTGAACACACGGCCACTTAGAACCTGTATTGTAAACCATAACACCCAAAAGGAGAGAGAGAGAGTAAGAGGGAAGGTTTCTGCCACAGAGGCGGGGGGTGGGGGCGCAGGGGTGCTGGGAAGGGATGGGGTGGCAGGAGGGATACTGGGAACATTGGTGGTAGAGAATGGGCACTGGAGGAGGGATGGGTACTGAATCATTGTCTGACTGAAATGTAATCGCGAAAATTAAACAAATAAATAAATAAATAAAATCTGTCTGTCCTCCCGTTGTTCATCGATTTGCTAGAGCAGCCCCAGTCATGTCGTCTCCATTGTGAGACTTGTTGTTACTGTGTTTGGCATATCAAATACATCATGGGTAACTTGCCAGGCTTTGCTGTGCGGGCGAAATACTCTCAGTAGCTTGCCGGGCTCTCCGAGAGAGGTGGAGGAATCGAACCCGGCTCAGCCAGGCCGGTGGCTTGCAAGGCAAACTCCCTACCGCTGTGCTATTGCTCCAGCGCAAATAAAAAAATAAATAAAATCTGCAAAAGAAATAAAGGGGAAAAATACATAATAAAAGAATTCATTATTTAAAAAAATCTAATGATTGTTCTTGACAAGATAGAATTTGTACACACAAACTCTGTGTATACAAAATGTGTGTATGTGTTTTCATAAAAAAAAAAAATCCTGCTTACCCAGCAGGGGAGCGACCATGATCAGGAAGGTGGTTTTCTCAGGGCAAGGTTCATCTGGACGTGCTGACCCCTGCGACTGGCCCAATGGCCACTGGGCTGCACAATTTACGTGGGGATGGGGGACTATATTCATACTCTCCCCTAAGAGTCCCCAACTCTATTTAGATACCAGAGTTTACAAAGTTGTTCATAATGCAGCTGTTCTGGGCATTCAGTCCCACCACCACCACTGTCCCTAGCTCCCCACCCATTCCTCTAATTCATTCATTTTATGTTGCTTGTAACAATAAAGTGGTAAGTGGAATTACCAAAACATAATAGAAGAAAATTTGCAAAAGTTGTTGCATCTGACAATGCAACAATGAAAGTCACCTCCGTGGGTGTGCTGAGCTGTCAACTGCTGCTGGAACACCCCCTGCTATGTTCCAGCTTCCTGGGCTTTTATCATTAGGAGGTGGCTGTGCCTCCCCGCCACCCCTTTGGGGTCTATGGACCTGGTGTGGGGTCCGCGTGGGTCCCCGCAGCGTCAGTCGTGTGGCAGTGGAGGTGACCGTGGCAGTGGCTGCTGGGGCTTCGGCAGGGCTGGGCCTTAGTCCCCTGCCCCGGGAGCCCTAGACTTCTCAGCCGGAATACCCGTGAAGCTCAGCTCATGACTTGCCTCTACCCAGGGATTGCTCACGAGGCCACAAAACCGGGCCATGTCCATGGTGGAGGCTGTGGGATGACAAGATGCATTATCAATTTTATTGCTAAAATAAAAAGGAACTTGGGGCTGGAGCGATATCACAGTGGGTAGGGCATTTGCTTTGTATATGGCCGACCTGGGTTCAGTCCCCTGCATCCCATATGATCCCCTGAGCACCTTCAGGAATAATTCCTGAGTGCAGAGCCAGGAGTAACCCCTGTGCATTGCCAGGTGTGATCCAGAAAGCAAAAATAAATAAAATAAAATAAAATAAAAGGAATTCATTGTCTGGGTTGGGGGTCCACACCCAGCAGTCCTGGGGAAACCAAACAAAGCTGGCTTTGAACTTGGGCTGGCTACGTGCAAGATAAGCACCTTAACTAACCCCTGCACAGTCTCTAGGACCTGGCCTGGGCGTTTTAAGGAACTTGTTTGAGAAGGTGGGAGAGGGGCTGGGTGGAAGGGTCCCGACCCTTGGCCGGTTTCAGACATTAGGGTTTTCTCCCGTCCTCTCTGTGCCCCAGGCTCCAAGGGTGCGTCATTTCTCTCTGAGCCGGTCTCTGATTCAGCCTGAGTCAGTCTCGGACTCACAGATGCGGCTCTTCAACCCCTAGAAGCAGAAAAACCAGCTGATGAGTCAGTTGAACGGGCCTCCGGGGTCAAGGAGACACCCAGCATGGAAAGGCCGCTCGGCCTCCTGACCGTGGGAGGGACGGTGCTGTAACCACCTGTGTGTGTGTGTGTGTGTGTGTGTGTGTGTGTGTGTGTGTGTGTGTGTGCTGTCTATCTGTGTCAGAGTACTGTGTTGCTGAACTCAGGGGCTGATGTCAGGGCCCTGGGATGCGTTTGTTCTGCCCTTTCCATATGCTCAGAACCTGGCACCAGAGCCCTCCTTCTCCCGAAAACCACCCAGGGAAGTCATGGAGTTGAGTGCCCATATCCCGCTGGACCGAGTGACCTCTCTGCAGAGCGACCAGTCCGTTTTTGGGTCCTGGGAGCAGCAGCCCTGCCTGTGCAGCCCTAGCTCTGGTCTCGTAGCTTCCCAGCTCAGACCAACCTCCTGCACCCGAGGGCAGCCTCTGCTCTGGGTCTGTTTGGACAAATGGGACAGTTGTTCTATTGCTTCTCACACTCTGTGTCAGCGGCAGCTTGTTCTGCTGTGGTTTGACTTGTTTCTCTGACTTCTGTTTTTCCTGGAGATTGTTATTTGGTGCCTGGGACTGGATCTGTTTCACGTCCAACCACCATTTTTTTTTCCTTTTGGGGTCACACCCGGTGATGCACACAGGTTACTCCTGGCTCATGCACTCAGGAATCACTCCTGGTGCTCTGGGGACCATATGGGATGCTGGGAATCGAACCCGGGTCGGCCACATGAAAGGCGAATGCCCTCCCTACTGTCTATGGCTCCAGCCCCATCAGACCACTTTTAAGTAGTGTTTCTAGGTGGTGCCGTGTCCTTCCTGCTCACTATCTGGGGGCTCCTCATTGGGCCGCTTCCCACTAGAGACATCTTCAGCTTCAGGCTGCCGACCCCCAGCCTTTAACCACAGATTCCTGGCCCTGGTTTTTCGCAGAGGGGTTTGAGATGGTGTGTTTGAAGATGCTTTGCCTGGCCACGTTGAATGAGTTTCAGTGAGCATGTTCTCTGCTGGAATAGGAAACATCCAAGCCTGCCCCTCAAATGAAGCTGTTGTGTGTTCCCGTGACCCACCAGCTTTGGGGGGGGACTCCCTAGTAGTTTATGTTTATTCAGGGTGTTCCCAAGTGGTTCTCAGGAGTGTCAGGACCCGGGCTGGCAGCTTAGAGCAAAGGCCAGGGAGCTGAGGTGCTGCTCGGGCCTGCCAGTGCTCAGGGTCCCAAGCCAGAACACAACCCAGCAGAGTTCAGAGACCTTGGGGTGGCAGGAATTCATCTCGGGTTGAGCCTGTGCCAGGCCCATGGCTCACCCTTTGTCCTCTCTCCTGGCCGTGGGGTTTCCCTCCTCTGGCCAAGCCCCTCCGGCTCCACTGTCTCCTTTTTGGAGTGAGAGAGTCAAGACTGGCCTGTGCGCAAGGAAAGCTCATCACTCCTGGCCTTCCCTGCGTTTTCCAGGGAGAAATGCCTGTTACTCTGAGCAG